ATGACCATTTTTTTTACACTGTGTCTGTCTCAAGATTTCATCTTTGTGAGCCAAAAGATTTGACGGTCACTCAAACGGAGAGCAACCGCATAAGCCGCAACTTCCAGTCCCGATTTCTGTCCTGACGTTATACAGTAAAACTCCACGACTAAGAACCTGGTTAGGATAAAATTTTCCCGTCAAGCCCCATCTATATAAGATCCTGTTTAGCCTAAAATTTGAAACAGGTTCTTATTTTCTAAAATCTGTACAAACATTCTGTACACTTAGCAAAGAAGATAAGTCAACATTCAGAATCCTCTTTGGAGACATAGGTGCCTTTTCACTCCAACTGCAATGCAATGGTTTGCAGGTCTAGCCCGTGCGGACGCACTTGGTAATAACTGTCGCAATTTGTAGAAGACCGTGTCACAATTTGTAATAACTTTTCGTCGTAATTTGAAATGAATTTTTTGAGAGTGATTCAACTTACTTTGTTGACATTTAAACAGTCTTGTCAAAAACTGTCGAAGGTGATGACGTCATCAATAAGCAGATTTATTCAACTGAACAGTTTGTTGATTATGTGACTTACGAAATTCTGTTATACAAACATTTCAACACGCTTTATTTCATGACTATTACAAAGTATAATCGTATCTATAACTAAATTCTCAAATCTGATTGGCTATCAACTGTCCTGAGTTCAGTTTTAATAGGACAGTAAGAGCCATCGAGCGCGAGCACTTGAATGGGTTGGTCTTTCACCTTCAGCAAAATGCTCTAGGAATATCCTCCATTTTATTTTGACCTAAGGAACCTTAAACGTCGGCTTTCATTGATTTGCACTTCGAAATAACATTGTCTTTATTTCCAGTAAATACAAAATATAGCAGTAAGTGTTCACGAGTTAAAGCGTTTCCTGAAATATACCCCACGAATACAAGCTACTTAATTCTTTCAGTCACGGCATTTCCCTTAAACAGTATCAATTGATATCTTCGCCATATATTGAGACCTTATGTTACCTCCAATCTACAGCTTCATATATCAAGCCGGCGTATTACCTGCAAACTACACTGACACCACTACATATAAAGGCCGCATATTTCTTTCAATTTACAGCATTATATAAAGTCCAAATGTCAGTTTGCTTGTGATCTACTAGCAATCCTCACCGTTTTACACGAAGCCAGCATGTAACTTGCAATCTATATTATCAATGAAATCCGTACAAAGATGACATAACGTAAGTATTTAAGCAATCAATGCGGTCAAACAGTGAACAGGAAATAGCACACGAAGTAATTAATTGGTTTTCGTATGTTCCATTTAGAGGTCACGCCACATTCAGTCTGTGGTGTAAAGTATTTCCTTTTGCCACATGTGACGTTTGTATAAAAATAATAACGATTTCCGATCTGGCAGGTGCAGTCGAACCGCTATTTTTTTCTATTCGGGCTCACACCCTCGTTTTAAATAAACTGTAAGAGAGAGCTCGCAGACTATCGCATTACGGACACTCGCCCTCGTTATTACCAGGACAGCAGTTTTGCTTGTCCCTCAGAAAAACTCTCACATTTTCTCTAAAAAGTCAACCCGCTTAATACGGACACTCGTTATTGGCGATAAAGGACAATTTTTTCTTGTCCAATCAACAGTCTGGTGGAATTTAACCTTAAACCGCTATTTTAGACTTCAGTACAGTGAAACCTGAAATAACGAAAGGGCCAACGATGACAAAATACGTTCGATATACACTCTTTGGCCCAGGCTTAATATTTTTATTTTTCTGTCGATTTTAGGCTGAAAATTTTCTTGAATTATTTTTAATAATAAATTATAGCTTATGGCATTTCCGCTTCTGAATGTATCGTGGTTTCAGTTAGAAGTGTTCTTACTGTTTAGTGAAAGGAATAATTCTCCACGGTCAAGGTTAAAAACATAAATTGTACTGTGTTTAAAGATTTTCAAACACAAAATTGGGCCTTTTCAAACTCTCAGTCTCGGGTTTATTCTTAAAATATACTTAGAACTGCGCAAATTTCAGCCCAGATATTCCGTATAAAATATATTGTTATAGAAATAAAAAGGGGTATAAGGAGTTATCATGATATCGAGATTCTTTTCCACACATTCAGGTGATATATTTTACTATTACTGAGGCTAGGAATATTGCTCGTTATACCGCAGACTTCGCTATATAGATGTTCGTTATATCGAGGCTCTACTGTTTACTGAGCACTGGCTTAACCGTAATTTCAGAGCAAAAGTGCCCCTTCATCTTCAGTATAAAAGTGACCTATTGAGCTGAAGCTAGTCTTGCCGCAATCAAAGTGGACTAAAAACATACCGAAGACTGATGTACTTGACAATTAAGCTATAGACCCCACCGTGCAATACGGACACTGAGGGGAGTATCGGTACTAATGGGTTGCAGGAGCCCATGCGGGTTGTAAGCGGGTCAGGATATTTCAAGATTTGGTTTTTTTAAACAAAACACTTAAATAATTAGCCTGCGAAAAGGAGAAACGGATGTTTTCGCAGGCTACTAAATAATAAAACAAAACATTAGCATCGTCTACTACTTAAAAGTCTCGAGTCCAACTTCCCAAGCCACGGTTACCGTCCGCCGCGGACGGCTATTGCTGTGAAATCATTCAAAAGTGGCTCATGTGGACATGTTAAGTTATTCCTTAATCAAAAACCAGGTACAAAACTCATTTGTTGTCAACAAAATTTCCCGTCTATTCAGGGGCACCCAAAAACGGTTTCCTAAAGAATACATTGAAAACACTTTTTAGCCGAAGCAGAGTACTTTTAGATCTTTAGAAAAGTATTCTAAGCGGCGCTGTAAAATTTGTATCTGTTTGGTCATCCTAGGGGAACTTGAGTCTTTTCGAAATTGCAAGGGCTTGAGTATTGTTTCCCCGAAAATGTTAGATGAAATCTGACGTATTACGAAAGTGAGACATCTTCTAATTGCTCTCTCCATTACGTTTTTGAATTCGAAAATTTTAAGTTTCCTTTTTTCCACGAAATATAGCCTAGGAAATTTATTCGGATAAGTTTCGAAAATTGTACATGAATGGAACGGTCAGCTAGAAAACCGTCAGCTAAAAAATCAAGGGCCTCTCTTTTTCGACCCTTTTCTACTGGTAGTTTATTTTAGATCCTACAACTCGCGACATATTTGGCCATTTGGTTGGGTGCCAATCAATACTACCACTAAAATATAAAACGCAGGGGCGGATCTAGGGGGAGGGTGCAGGGGGTGCGCACCCCCCCCCCCCTGAGATGACCTGCGGTTTTCTAATACAACTGGTATTCTGCAAAAAAAAAAACTATGTGGTTTATTGGTGTTGGAGTAGAGCAAGAGGCGAGTGCACCCCCTCCTAAAAAAAATCCTGGATCCGCCCCTGGAACGGTAAACTGACCCTTACAGCAAGGAGATGAACAAGTAGACAATGGAATAAAACAAAAAAATATTTTTTTTATAAACCCCCCTGAGATGACCTGCGGTTTTCTAATACAACTGGTATTCTGCAAAAAAAAAAACTATGTGGTTTATTGGTGTTGAAGTAGAGCAAGAGACGAGTGCACCCCCTCCTAAAAAAAATCCTGGATCCGCCCCTGGAACGGTAAACTGACCCTTACAGCAAGGAGATGAACAAGTAGACAATAGAATAAAACAAAAAAATATTTTTTTTATAAATCAGTTTTTTTATTCTTTGTTCACGTGTTCATCGCTTTGCCCAAGGGTCATTTTTGCTTTTTTACATTTTATACAAATTGTTATTGTACTAATCCAGGTCTGCAACTGTGAGATCCGGCACCACTCAACGCTTTGTCGCTGTGGACTTGCTGATATTTAATATTTTAGAATCCACTACGAACCTCTTCAAGATTCGTTTACAAACAAACAAAACAAACAAAACAAACCAACAGCTGTTGTTTCTGCTTTTCTGTTTCTTCTCGACAAATGAAGTGGAACTCCTGGTAAACAATAGCACCGACTTGGTGGACCAATACAGTGCAAAACGCCTACACAACTTTTTAATCATCTACTGAATATTCATTCATAATTCATTAAGACTTGACAGCAGAACCGTATAAACAATATTGAAACAAGTGTTAAAACAACCGTCCTATATAATATTGAAAGTTGCTAAAACGCTCAAACGAGCCAGGCGGAATATTTTATCGCACGCGTCCATATTCATGGTCTCTGACTCGGCTACAACAGGTGGTGGTGTTTATGTCTTGGAACTGAGCCGTAAAAATGCTTGTTCATCCGCAAGATAGACCTGTTTCTGATCATCAACAGTGAAAGCCTTCAAAGTTTCGTGTTAGATTTCCATGAGGGAAACGCAGATCAAAACGTTTTTCACTCGGTTTGGGAAGAAAATATCACTAAAATGTGTTATAAATATTCATTATTAAAAAAGAAGCAAAAGGACGGCTTATCGTATAAGTCTAAATTACAACGAAAATCATAAAATGACCCCTTGTAGCGCCATGCTGGCTGGATAATTCAATTTAGTTGTAAAATAAGAGGACTGTTTTTTAAACAATCTACTTTTTCCGACTGTTCAATTAGTTAAACTGAGATTAGAAATTCTCTATTGTCTCACGAACAACTAATCTAGGGTGTGTTGTCGAGAGCCAATCGCATCTTAGAATTCCCTAAAATATGCGTGGAATGACGTGTTGAATAAATTACTCTCTATGTCCACAAAAAGCAGAGAGCCATGTACAGAGAAATTTGTGTTAGATCACGAACGATTTTCGGCAAATGAAGTCACAAGAAGCCATAAATTCTCTCTTTAGAGAAAGAAACGCAAGGAGAAAAATGCTTTGTAAGATTAAGTATGATTTGAAGACCTTTGCTTCAAAGAAAACATTCCTAAAATTCTATCCCCGTGTTTGGTCATACGAACACGCGAGTTTCGAATTCTTCCTCGACCAGCAGGCGATGAAAAGAAATGTCATCAACCCCCCTCTAGGGAGAAATAGCGCAAGTCTTTTGTGGGCGCGCCGAGCATAGTTGTGTCATTCCTTAAATTCTTGCTGGCCTCCGTTTACTGTAAAGCAAGGGGCAACTTTGCTAATTCCAGGTGATTTTTAGAGGAACAAGGAAACTGACGTGTCTATCGTTGTTTAGCGATTTGCTGTGAAGCCAGGTAGGTTGCACGCGACTGTAAAAGCTTTCTGTTCATCTCTTTGATTCCCCTCCGTCAAATGTTCCATCGGTCCGTTGAATCGTTCGAATTTTTCTCATTTTTCTAGAGTTGAGCTTCCGGAACGACTGATCAAGACAACACTAAGAAGCCTACACGGCAACCATAAACAGTTGAAGGAGATTCCCTCCGGTTAAGATCATTTTTGTCAGGGCTGTTCTTACAAAACCGCCAAGATTTCGGACCACGAGGACCTCGAAATGGCCAACTCGGTCGACGAGGGCAGCGCGACAAAAAGCCCCGTCGACATGGCAAATGATGCCGAAGGAGTTTGGTCGCCCGATATCGAACAATCATTTCAGGAGGCTCTTGCAATTTATCCGCCATGTGGCCGGCGGAAAATTATTCTCTCCGATGAGGGAAAAATGTATGGTAGGTAGCACGTTCTAACCCATTTGGCGTAGTTTATTTCATGGAAGACCATGAACTCCAAACGTACGTTGAAAGTTTAAATATCGCTCGACCCGGAAACCTAAATGCTCGTTATCAGCCAGTGTTTTGTACAAGTCAACTAGATTAAAAATATTTCTTACGCGAAACAGGGCTGACTTCTTAAAAATACAGAAAACAATGACAACAGTTACCTCGTTTTTCCACGAAGGCATGGAAAGGACAGTCGCTCGTTTGTTTGTGTGAGATAATATAACTGAACAACGTTGATCTCGAGTTGTAATAACTACATTACTGGCATTCATTCTTCGTGCCAGCTGTATTGCCAGAGTTCATGAAAATGTTAGCATACTTTAAAGGTTTCTTGCGAGCGTCGGAGCAACGATTTAGAAATTTAGCGGATTCGGCGTGGAGATGTCACGAATGGCATAGCTCAACTACGCACAAATGAATGCACTAGTCGTAACCAATTGTTCGAAGTATGTCGGCTATGCATCTTTACAGTTTTTCATTGACCCTTACCGCAAAGTGAAAAATAGCGGTTGCAAGAATAACATAACAAACTAGTTTTTCTGAGATTGCGTTGTAAAAATACCAGTCTTTAGTGGTTTAGAGTCTTGACTAAACCTTTTTTGTGCTATGAATTGTCATGCAATGAAACTCTATTTCATTCTCCGTACAGACTGTATAATTCGTTAAGTTCTCTTGGACGTGGGTATATTTGGAAGTTATTTTCCGTTACAAAGTTGGCTATTTTATTATTAAGGATCTTTCGTTTATTTAGTTACAGATAGCGGTAAAAGGACATTTTGAGGTTTATGCGTTTGAAACTTTTGTTTCCTCGAAGAACAAAGGCCTTTATTATATCTGATTAATATGCCACATGGAAGTATTTTCGCAACAATATTGATCAGCAATATTTAAGTTGAATATAAGTATAAATTATGATACTGTTTGAATCTAATTCGCTTAAAATACTTCAATTAACGTCTTGTAATATGTTTATACGTGGGTTTATTTTTACCAGCATTGTGCATTTTTTAATTTTAAGAATGTTTTCTAAACAAATGCAATGATATCCATATTTTTTGATATACTGTTTATTACAGAGACAGTGCTCATTTTGTTTTGCTTTCTTTCTTTCCTCAACTTGGTATACGGTTTGGAGAACGATATTATGAGATGTTTGAATCTTACACTCCAAGGAGAAACCAACAAGTTTGGAAAAAAAACTCTTAATTTTTGTACCACAAGATGGTGGTTTTCTTTGAATGGCCGTACCTTAAGATTTTGTCTTAAGGCAAGACTGCCACCAATGAAGAGTGAGCAATAAATATTAGTGCTCACTATTGTATCCTTTCCAAGAACTAACCCTTTGGAATGTTCAATTTGCATTGGAGATCAAGTTACAAATCAAAATTTATGAGTGTATAGATAATGAGAAAAATTAAAAGTAATACCCAAATTGTTATCTGATGTTTGTTTCTGACATCATTATCAAGAATGAAAACCGTTAAGTGTCAAAGTTTTTAAAAGAGTTGAGATTTGAATTCCTTAGATGGCATTTTTGTTTGCTTGATTATTTATAAAGATGCATGTCCCAAAAGAATAGTTTCGCTTGAATCAAGTCTGATAGATGATGACCATTAAAAAATGAAGCAAGACCTTGAGCAGTGGATATGTTGATATTGTAATAACCATTATCAATGCATGTCTGTCAGACAAGTAGAAAACATAGATCACTTGTTTTGGTGCATTCTAAAGCTGTTTTAGTACATCACAAACATGAAACCTTTTAAGAACCAGTCTTTGAAAACAGGTTGTGTGTTGTAGTTAAATTATTGCTTTCTAGTCAAATCATTGCAAATTGCGAACATGTTTGCTTCCGTGTGGAATTTAGCCAGTATCAGCCAAGTTCCCTTACATTCGCGCCTTGGTTAAATGTTGACCCTCTATAAGCCGCAACTTCACCAAAATGACCTCCTCCCCTCCTTCCAAAAATTTTCTTGGACATCAAGGCAAGAGAGAATGTCTTAAAAAACCTAGGCCTGGCCAGCAGCGGTCCACCTTGGATGTAATTGCTACAAACATGTTAACTTTTCTTTTTTTTGGGGGGGGGGGGATGCTAGGGTGGGGAATTGTGTAACCTACACTGTATGCTAATTAAATATGATTTTTCTTTGTAACTCAGGACGAAATGAGTTGATTGCCCGATATATCAAACTGAGGACTGGGAAAACAAGAACAAGGAAACAGGTATGTTTTTTTTATTTTGGGCAAAAAGTGAAATATTTTTTTGGAGTGAACACTAGCATTAAATTTGGTAGCATAGTAATGAACAGAGTATTATGCCATCAGAAAGTGTTAATGTACAGCCATAGTCAAAAGAAAAGAAAGTGGTGTTTTAAAGATTGTTAGCCTAACAGTTTTCCAACATTCAATTTGTTTTTTGCAATATTTGATAAACAGTCGACTCTTGATAACTCGAACCTTTAAGCGAAAGTGAAAACAGTTCGAGTTATCGGGAGTTCAGGATATCGAGAGTTCGAAGAAATTAACCAGAATTAAGGAAATGGGATGGGGGAGGGATGTAAGTACATGTATCATTTACACTTCAATTCAAGGGCAATAAGAGTTATATTGATATTTTGACAAGAGAAATTAAGCAGCAAAGCTTGATTAATCATTACAGTGCTAAACATTGTTGATTTGAATTGGACTGACAAAAAAGCATAAAGCTTAAAGAGAAAGAATACTTGGTTGTTTTGAGAGATATGTTATGTTTTGTGCTCCAGTTCACAGGGTTTTTTCGACTTGTCATGTGCTTAAAACATGGTTTGAGTTTTTAAGGGTATAATTGTATAGAAATGGTCTAGAGGGAAACAAAAATTATGTTGCGTTAGCATGAGGTTCGAGTTATCAAGAGTTTGAGTTACTGAGGGTAAAATTACAGTAAATGTATGATGGAAATCTAGGGGAAATCGATTTTGGTTCGAGTTAGCGTGACGTTCGAGTTAGCGAGGGTGCGAGTTATCGGCAGTCAACTGTACTTGTAATACTTGGAAGACAATAGTTTGACGTGAAGCTGTGATTTTATGATTCACATGTAATGTCTAAAGTCTCTTTGGGAAAAAGGATGTGTAATTAGCATTATAGACAAAGTATAAACCAACTGTGAAACAGTTCAGTTAAGGAGCATCTGTCATGGAGTCATTGATTTTTTTTTCCACTCCACTTAAGCTTTCTCCCCCTTTTTCTTTTTGAAGGGACTTTCTTTTGGTTGGGAACATGTGTTTATTTTGAACCATGGTAAATGATGTGTGTGATCATGCGGTAAAATCACTTTCTTACTTCCCTTTGCTGTCGGTCAGTCTTCTAATAAATATATTTGTATGAGCTACATGTAAGTGCTAAAGTGGCCAGATAACACAAAATGTAAGGTATTTTGGATTTAACAGTTAAAAACAATACTCTCGTCAGTTGTCTGTGGTAAGTATTCATTTCTTTTGTTATGATCCATGCTTTAATTGCATGGTATTTTTCTCGCAACTTTAGTTTGGAAAGTTGTACACTTTAAACCAAGATCTAATTTTTTATTCCAATATTTGATGATTTCATAAAAGGAACTGCTTACAAGAGTTAAACTTGACCTAAGTAAAATCCTGGTTTTCAAATTGTCAGTGAAACTTTTTTGAAAAGCTAGTTAAACGTGAAGTTCTGTTATATTGGGATTTTGTTTCTTATGTACTTAGGTTTCCAGTCACATTCAAGTCTTAGCAAGGAAAAAAGCACGGGAGATTCAAGGCAAACTTAAGGTTGGTTAATTTGTTGATTTGTGTTTAACACATGTAGGTTTCAAGTCACATACAAGTGTTGTCAAGGAGAAAATCCAGGGAAGTTCATGTGAAAATTAAGGTTTGTGAATAATTTGCAGTTATTAGTCAAGATCAGTAGTTAATTGTGAAGTTAGGCATGAATTCAGGCATGCTGCTGCAGAATATGGTCAGATATTTCTGGAAATAAAAGGAGTTGGAGATGTGAAATTGACATATTCCTGGGAATGGATGTGACCAACCAAACTCTCGAGTTATACTAACTTTTTGTCGTTTTGAATGGAAAAGTATTTTTTGCTGGTAAGAAATTTGTTTTGTAGGCAAGGTTGTCACTTCCGTACTATATGTATGATATGGTGTGGTGATAACAGAGTTAGAGTAGCAGTGTAGTTAACTAAGGCATAGCTTGGGTTACCTCACTCTTGGAGTATAGTCAAACCTCTCAGGCATTTTTCATTCTGTTTAGTGGGATTTCAGTTACCATGGAGTGGGAACACAAGCAAGGATGGATAAAATAGTTAGTTAATGTAAAAATCGCTTCAGATTCTCATGTTGACCAGAATTCTTAAATTATACACCCATACATTAAGAGAGGGAGAGAAACGACCCATAAACCCCACTGAGTTTTACCAATTTGAAAGGAAATCAAGGAATAATATGCCAAGTTTTTTGCTCGCATGGTTCTGTTATTCCCTTGATTACGTGCCTGGCTAACACTCTTTGAGGTATGGGTCATCTTCAGCCCTTTAATTTAACCCATTTGCCCCTGAGCTGTCCTTAACCGCCTGTGCGCCACATCCCTTCTACCACTTGTGACATCATCAGTTTTAAAGGTCAAAGACAACTTTGTCTGCTAACTTGTGAAGAGTGAAGAGATCTTTCAAACCATTCCAGAATGAGCTCAATTCAGTCAAGGGGGGAAGAGAAAATGGCAAAAAACCATGCAACATTGAGCTGAAAATTTCCGTGAAATCTTGTTTCACTACCTCCCTACATTTCCTTTCACCTAATTCTAAGATCCTAGAAGCTTTCCAAAAAACTTTTCCCAGCAAAATGAAGCCTACTAAATTCCCAGCAAAAGAAAAAAGAATGAGCAAGAAAAGCGAAAAAAGTGGGGCGGAGAGAAAGGGAAAGTAAAAGTCAAATTGCTGTTTCACTTTTAAACACAAAAAATTTTTGCTTTCTGCGCATGCCCGAACTTCACAAGCTTCTGCATCTGGATCAGGAGGTCGCAAAGTGTATAACCTGTAATGGCTTTTTTTAAGCTCTTTATAGCCAACAGCGACCAGAAAACTGCTTGACTAGCTTCAAAATGCAATTTTCGGCAAAATTTCCAGGGGCAAATGGGTTAATATGTTTGTACCCTTGGCTTTAAATAATTTGCATAGTACTGTTGATGTTCATCTGACTTTTGACCTTGAGACTAGAGTTATTATGCAAGCGCTTTGCTTAGCTTTTAAAATTCTCTTTCGTTTGACCCTGGTGGAACCTCACAACTGTCTGTCTAGTGGTGAATTCTTGGTGATTCACATAGTAATCTACATTACACATATTGATGTTTTCCTGGTACCTGTCAATTTTTTTTAAGAAATTAAAAAACTCATGATTATTATGTGTGGTTTTGAACTGTATTTTTAAAGAAAGGTCATGAAGTATGAGATGAAGATATATTCTGATGATGTGGTGAAGGTATCAAAGATGCAATAAGTCCATGTAGTTTTCACAGAAGCCTCAATATTTTGTGTACTTTTATTTTATCACTCAGGATCAAGCGGCTCGTGATAAAGCTCTACAGACCATGGCTTCAATGTCATCTGCCCAGATTGTTTCAGCATCTGTTCTTCACAACAAAGCTTTAGCTGCTGCAGGAATTCCACCACAATTCAATAATGAAAACCAGGGCTATCAGGTATGTGATCTTCAAAACATTCATTTTTGTCCTTCAGCTGTATTTTAGGTCGGTATTTGGTCTTCCTTGTTCATTCTCAAAAACACCCTGTTGCTGTAACTCCTTAAAAGTTGTTTCCGTTTCCATCAATCCACACCTTTCAACTCCTTCCTCCTCCACAACTTGGTACTTCCCTTAAGTACACAGAGCTTTCGGAACCCGTCTGGAACCCTATCTCAGTACGGTGCTGTCACGCAAGATACTTGGCAGCCCTTGTAAGCATTTATACTTGGCAATGGCAATGAACTGTGACCAGGGCTATAACTTTCCCCCAATTTATGCAAGGATTTTTCAGCCCACATCAAAACAAGGCTGAAGAAGGGATCTGGATGGGTTCCCTGTGCTCTGTGTAACTTTCAAGAAATTGTTGGTGATGAAGAATACTTCTCGGTTATAAACATGAATTATTCTTGTGTTTTTATTTTTGAGATCTCTAAATTTGTATTATTTTTTCTATAGTTGCCTTTATTTTATTATTTGTTTTACAGCAACAATACTGGCCTGCTGGAGCTGGTCAGCCAGTACCAGGCAGCTACAACAATGCATCACAGCCCCCATATGACAGTGCAGCAGTCCAAGCCACTGTTCCGGGAAGTGTTGTGTCAACGGCCTCAGTTGCTAGTCCCACTGGGGCTGCCGTCAATAGCCCTGATGACATGGTAAGTTCATATTGAAACACAATGTAATAGATCTTGTGAGATAATAGCTGACAATGCCAACACTGGTTCCCCACACAATGATGTCGTAAGAATGAGTGTAGAAATTCCATACTGGTGGTATTGGTTGAAACAAATTTTTAATGGATTGGTGGTAAACAAATTTCCATCCCGGCGCGCCCAAACAGAAGTACCACCTGTATCTGGGTAGTGACAGGTCATCAGTATGGGATTTCTGCATTTGATAGTGTTTAATGGATGGTTAATAACCCTTTTTTGCGTCTTCAGAGGAGCAGTTCCTACAGAGGCACAGTGTCTTCCACACCACCAACATTTGCGGCTCATGGCAGCTCATCATGGCCACCAATAAAAACTCAATATGAACACCAGCTGGTATGTCTGGCTTTGTTAACATCATTAAACTCAGCTATACTGTAAACATTTCCAAATTCCAATTTTACCAGGAATCAGGTAGACGAAGAACCACTTAGTGGATGTGCTACTTCTTCTACATCATCATCATTATTATTATTAGTGAACTGCGGTCTATAACCACAGTTACATGTATAGGTCCATTAACCTGTAAACAAAAAAATATATATCTGAATAAAGCACCCCCTGATGTAAGTTCCCATCTAGCTTGTGTTGATATGAATTTGATTATGACATTTTGAAACTTCATTAAAAACCAATCAATGCAGAATGTCTTTTGATAAGCCCTCTGTTTGTAAGCCCTCCTAAATCCCTTATGAGCCCAGTGCTTATAGTAAGTGGCAGTTTATGGTAGTTTACATGATGTTACATATCACCTATTCATATATTATCAGTTGCATCGATTTCTGTACACATGATGAAAAACAAGTTGTAATTTGGTGCAAAGGTGACATATTGTGCCGCGCATATTGTTCCCTCAACAAAATTTTCATCACAAGAATTTTTAGACCTTAAGAAGTTCTGGAGAACTCAAAAATAATTCTTAAAAGTGTGCTGTTTTTTTAACAAGTTAACAAGAACTATTCCTCAAAGTGGAGAAAAAATAATGTTGCTCTTTGGTGTCAACAGATGTTGAAGCTTATGGTGTGTCAATCTGCATTTGCCACATTGTACCTTTAAGGAAGTGTCCATTAGAATATTTCTAATCTTTTTGATCAGAAAGAGGAATCAGCATTTCTAAAGTCCATTTCAATCAAAGTTAATGGTAGAAAAAACTTTATGAATTTGAGTAAATTGCTATTGATAATTTTAGTTATATGTATTTGGATATCCATAATTATTCTATTTTTTTTTTTATCGTAGCCTTTGCGGTTAGTTGAATTTTCAGCTTTCCTCGAGCAGCAAAGAATGGACCCGGAATCTGTAAGTAGATCTTCTTACTGTTCTGTCATTTTTTCTTTTATAATAATTTACAATCATAATTGTTACAGTTCAGTTGCAGTTCATTAACAAGATGCAAAATGCAAATAAAATAGTTAATAAAAGTGCTCTGCAACTTCTTAAGAATATTGATGGTAATTTTAAAGATGACTGGATTTGGGATGTCTTCAGTTGTAGTAGGTCTTCAAATTATTACCTGTGCAAGTTATTTTACGGTTTGTGTGACGATTTTTTGGTGGTTTGACTTCATAATTAATCAGGAATTCCATAAACTATTAGAAAAGTGGTTCAATTTGAATGTTGATGATGTCTATTTTGTTTTCAGTACCACAAACATTTATTTGTTCACCTGGGTCCGAACACTGATTTAGGGGACCCACATCTTGAGGTAAGACTTGTACTAAATCCTGTGAAAGTTCTATCAGCTATAAATTAAATAGGCCATTTCCAAGTTGCCCCAGGTCTCTGCTTGGAGAGAAGACTAAGTGTAATAAAACTCATTTTCACATGGCCTTGTTTTGAAAGTGAGGGCAAGTTTTTGGAACTAAGAAATGGCCTGTTTTCACAAAACAGCATTGGAAATATTTAGTTGTTAATATCTCTTATGGGTTGACTGAACATGTACTAACATCGCATTTTTTTCCAAAACAAATTTTAGGCAGTTGATATCCGACAAATTTACGACAAATTTCCAGAAAAGAAGGGAGGCCTCAAAGAACTGTATGACAAAGGACCACAGCAAGTGTTTTTCTTAGTGAAGTTCTGGGTAAGCAATTTTTGTATTCTGGCATTATGATCAGAATTTCGTAGATGTTTTATTTGGCTGCATTGTGCAACAATTAATGCAGACTAGACTTGCAGGCTGGCTTGTCTTGTAAATGAAATAAAAACGTTGTTGTGATAATGTTATGTCCTAAAATTGATCCCCTCCATAAGTTTTGAGATGAGGCGTTTTACACTTAAATTGCTAGTTAGGTTAACAAGTTTGAAACTTTCCATCCATTTTTAACTCGTGGGTACGCGCGAGCGTACCACGAGTTATTGCAGGGACTGAGATATGCAAATGAGTCACTCACTCACTCGTAGTAGACGCACTTCGTAATTAATCGGGTCCGAACTCGAGAGCTCGAAGATCTATCGTTTCCAAAGAAGCACGCGCTCGCCGAAGTTCGGAGCATCAAATTCCTCGCTGCGAGCATACATCGTGCGCTACAGCACGGTTAGGATAGAGGTCTTACCAAATTTAAGACAGGCAGGAATCTTTCAAATTAGTACGATTCAAAAGCCTTTGACCCGTCCAGGCGTTAAACTTGACAAGAAGATGAGCATTTGCTCTTCCACTCCTTCAACTTCGACGCTGGCTTGATCTCCTACCTTGTAGTACTGTAGTAGGTTATGTGTATGAATGAATTTATGGCGGTCAGTATAAAACACGGACTTCGGACTACGGACTGCGGACTGGGTATAAAATACGGACTATAAAATACGGACTGGTGAAATGTATGGTAAATAAAGGCACTTCTTCTTCTTCTTCTTCTTCTTCTTGAGGACTCCCCAAGATCACGGGGGGAAATGGATGTGAGTTTGAGCATTACCTTTTTAAAATAACAGCGGAAATCGAGATAAGAAAACATAAGCTAATGTTTTACGTCCTACTTCGTGGAGGAGTTGTGTCGGCTTTGTATCGCATATGTTCTTTCATTGCCATGAAATGCGTTTAGATTGTTTTTTACTGTCAGTAGCCTGGTTTCAATTAGCCTTAATTTCATCCCATTGCTTCGAGTCGTTTTTATGGCTCGATCGTTTGCCCCGGTCGTTTGCCGGCGGAAGTTCCATAGGAAAGGCATTAAATTTGAGACTTTTCGCCAAATCATGTGACCATCCTCAATGGCGTAGTGGCTATGTGAGGTCGGGTCAAACCGAGGGTACCGGGTTCAAATCCTGGTAAGGACCGTCTTTTTCCCTTCTTCTTTTTTTTTTTTCTTTTTTGTTTTGTCTTGTTTGCTTATTTGTTTTGCTGTTGTGTTTTTGTTTTGTTTTTAAATATATACTTAAATAACTGTTACTAAAGTGCAATAAACAGCAAGAAAAGTATTGTGTTTCCAGAACAAGGATAGTATATTTATAATATGAATTTCTATCATTTCCTAAAATTCACTGTAAGAAAACTAGAGGTGATAACTAATTGATTATTTCTTAACAACGTACCCACGAGTTGACGATAGTCTTTCTTTGATTTGTATCATTTTTACAATCCTAGGCTGATCTCAACACGAACATTCATGATGGTGCATTCTATGGTGTTTCAAGCACGTAAGTGATAGAAATCATAATTCATACACTAACTAGTATATAATTATATACATAGCCTTGTTTCAGTGTAGTACATCCATATACAAGCGTAAGAGGGCACATCCAGAGAAAGGAACTGCAGCTGAAAATGTGTTCCTATTGGCCTGGGATGTGTTGGTCAGCTATTTTAATACCAATTTTTTTCCTCTCCCTTGTAACAGTCCCAGAATTCTTTGCAAATTGCAAAACTTAATTGAACTTATGCAACTAAAACTCATTTTCACAAGAAAGGTTTTTCACTTATTAAACCTGGTTTTGAAAATGAGAGTTTTTGGAACTCAGAAATGGTCCGTTTTAATGGTTTGTTAACCCTTTAAGTCCCAATATCCACGTACAAATTCTCCAACCTGATCTCGATATAATTCCTTAAAGAATCGAATGAGTTGAGAGAATTTGATAAAAGATCAAAGCAGTTTCTCTTAGGTGATCATTTTATTATTTCTCATAACCTAATCTCTTGACAGTGTATAGATATTGTTAGGAGAAAATTGATGTTGGTCACTATTGAGACTTAAAGGGTTAACCTACACTGCAAGCTTCTTCTTTAACTTTCTCAGCCAGAGACATTTCTCCTCTTTCTGTTTATGACATGTTTCTAGAATACAATTTATGTCAGCTCCATACGAGTAGCGAGACCCTAGATTATAAGACTGCTAATCAGTGAATTTTTGTAAAAGATTTTTAACTTCTTCATTGCTTTCCTTCCAGGTATGAGTCTAATGAGAATATGACAATCACATGTTCCACTAAAGTTTGTTCCTTTGGAAAGCAAGTTGTTGAAAAAGTGGAGGTGAGATGACACTAGTGGTTGATCGACTTGGGTTATATATTTTACACCTAGCTCTAGATTTTTGAAAACGTACCTACAGAAAATTGCAGCCATGATTTCACTGAAAAGAGACCAACAGGGCAAGTATCTTTCATTCTGTCAGTGTTAGGTGGTAATCACAGTAGGGAAGGAAAAGGAGAAAAAAAAAGTAGAGAGAGGAAAGGAGAAAAATCGATGGTTGCACTCTTATTTTTTACTTTGGCTGCTTCAGAGAAAAAGCAACTGAACCTATTTTAGCAGTAATTATGTTATCAAAATCCAACTAGATATATTACATAAAACTTGCATTGAACACTTAATGACTGCATGGTTCTGAGAGAAATGTTTTCTGAGGCTGAGCTGAAGAAAACATAATTGAGATTCAAAAAAATAAATCAAACCAATTTCTCAAGCCATACCAGGGTTAGTCATCAGGTCATGTTATTATATCCCACAAAGACAAACTTTTAGGTGTAGAATTTTCTGGAAGTAAATTTCAGTGGGCTGTTAAGATTTGCAAAACATATTGCTCAGTTACCTGCTGATGTGGTACATTTTGCAGTGTTGCCTGCTCAGAAGAACAAAAAGTAGTGACTGATTCGCTTAGCTTGAGTGCTGTTTGTAACTCTTTTAATAATGACATTGCTCTATATTCAAAGGACCTTTGGCCACTTGCAGTACTGAAAAGTGGATTGTTTAGCATTTTAGAGTTCCTGGTTGTCCTTGTTGAGATGGCCAATCTTTTTATGAGCTAAGATTTTTGGTAGGAAACAATTTTTTTTTATATTAATGTTATGTGACCTTGAAGAAATCAATGAAAGCTCGTGTTGGGGAAACATATTCAGCTATACCCTATCTAAACATGGTTTGTTCAGCCCAGGCTGATGCAGTTATAACCTTAAAGTATTTATAACAACTTGCATAAGGTCTTTAAACTATATAATTATTTTATTTTCTCTTCTCCACAGACTGAGCTTGGCCATTACGAAAACAATCGTTTTGTCTACCAAATTCACAGATCACCAATGTGTGATTACATGATCAATTTTGTTCACAAGCTGAAGCAGTTACCTGAGAAGTATATGATGAACAGTGTACTGGAAAACTTCACCATACTACAGGTGCGCACATTGCTGTACATGCTGCTTATGGCACATGATCATACTGTTATCTTTTTATTGTCTGGAGTACGTACTAATCTGCAAACAAACTGTCCATTTTGGAAACCAAAATTCAAGATAAGGTACCGGTTGATCTCCCATCTCTTTTGTGTGCCTCTTGTGTGTGACCTCTCACATTAGGGAGCTTAAGCAATGACGACAACTACATCATCGGTTTTACATGCAGGGATTTGTCGTTGTAGTTATCGAGTGGAGAAGTTATTATAGATAGCGGGTGACAATAAGACTATGTTATGCAATTTTGGCCTTTCTGCTCTGTTTTCTACCATTATAAACAACTTTTCAGTAGCAGCAGGTTGTTCTTTACAACTGGTGAGGCCAAACGCAAATGTTGGCATATATTGTCATGATTACATACTGAATGACCTATGGCAATTTTTGTCCGGTTTGTGAAAGCAGTTAACATGGTGCTAGGAGACATGCTGGGATCTTCCTACCTCTCAGCTATGCAGATCCTAGCTGTACTAAGAAGATCCTAGCACTTAGGGACAAGTACAACCCTTTGTACTATGTAAACTGAGGACAGAAAACATGTGGCACTAGCATGAAGTATCTGCCTTCTAGGATCTTCCTGGTGCTATAGGATCTTCCTCCCTCCTTTTAAATATGCTGCGTAAAAATTCTTCATATACTTTGGCCCCTTTAGCTAATTGTTATTGTTTACTGTAGGTTCTGACCAACAGAGAAACCCAGGAGACATTACTGTGTCTGGCTTTTGTGTTTGAAGTGTCTACCAGTGAACACGGAGCACAGCATCACATTTACCGACTAGTAAAAGACTAAACTTCCAATAGAACAGATGCTTGACATGCTATCTATTCAATGTTTACAGTGTCAAATATAATCATATGCAGCTGTCACTAATTTGGTGGAGACCACACAACAACTTCGAGTTTCCTTGCTATGCTTGCATTTTTAGCTCAGGTTCATAACAAATACAGATAAATTTATGTGATTAAATCTTAAATGGTGACTGATGTCACTTAGGTAGATGCAAATGTGCCTAAAAATTATCTTATAGTGCAGATCTTGTAAAAAAAGAATCATACCCTCTACATTTTGACCTTGTACTTGTAAAATTTACAAATAAGGGAATAAGCATTTCTCTAGTTCTCCTTTTATTATTAAAGCTTTAGCACTTCTTTAGTCTTCGCTGTTAAATAATGTATAGTGGAATATTGTTACAGTTTTAACTGCTGTTGGTCGCGTAGACTTTAATATTATTATTCTAAAAAAATGAACAAAACAGGAAAGAATTAATGTAAAGCTGTTTCATGGCAAGTATTTTTTCAAATGAAGATTTTTACAAGTTAAACAGTGCAGCTTGACTGTGCCAAACATATCTTGCTTCACTTGTGGAGCTTAAGTATAACCATGCATAGAAGGTACATCTGGGTTTTATCCCTTCTTTTGTACTTGGCTATGCTCTTATAAAGTCTCGCCTCACAGATAATCACCACGTACACACATACCTTGTTGCTAATACTGACTGCAAGGTCATTCTAGGTCTTGGAGAGGCCATACGTGTAATAAAGAATCTATACATTTGTGGAAAACTGGTATCAACTGAGGTTTAAACAGTAGAACCTAATACTATTCAGTTAACTGATATGTAGAACTAGTCTTACTTATGAATTTTTTCCCATGTAAATAAGCAAGGGCCTTTAGGTGGTCTGTTTCCTATCTTTTCTTTGTTCTACTTCCCTAACGTCTCTGATCAAAACAGTAAAAAGAGAAATTATATCTCTCAAGTTACATAACAAAGAACAGCTATTTTTTGACTTACAGAAAACAAGAAAAAGAATTTTGGTGTCACCTCGAAGCAACCCTTTGTAATCAAACGTCCCTTTGTAGTACTCTTTTTGCAATTCTTGCCCATAATGTTTGTGACAATTTACCTGCAAAAAATGCCATTCCTTTGTTGGTTGCCTTTTCAAGCCATCCTAATTCAGGATGCACGTGAAGGGGGTGGGGAAAGTTCCTGTTTCTCACGAACCTGGCTTTAGTATAACCAAAGAGAAAACGTTTTTTAAGGTGTGAATGCTGTATAATAAGAACTAATCACTCTGTTCCTTTCCTAAGACTAAAAGGAGCTGTGTCACAAAATTTATTGAAATTCAAACTGTAGGAACTGCCACTAAATTGAGTGTAATATGAAAATAACCACATGAAACGTTAAAAAAGGTATTTACACCATAAATAACACAGAAGGAGGCAAGGATGGGAAAACTTGAAGAAGATTGAAACGGATTGCAATAATAGAGGTTTTTGAAAAATTGTTAGCCTAACAGTTTTTCAAGGTTCATTTTTCTTGTTTGCAGCGTTTGATATAAATCTAGGGAGACATATTTGTAGGACACAAAGCTGTGATTTTGTCATTCACAAGTAATTTCTCAAGTTCTGATTGTGAATAACGACGAGTAATAACAAAATGAACCACCCAGTCATGGCACAGCCTCTTTAACTGCAGGACATGAACAGTGTTGATGTTTCTTAGTTTCTTAGTTTTCAAAAAACTTCAAATGGAGGCTGTTCATAAATCGACTGTCTGTGAGTTTTAGTGTAGGTTACTTCAAGATTAAGGCACCATATTTTTGTACTGTTAGTGGTGAAGTAGCAGCGATCCCTGTTGTGAATCATAAAAAGCCTTTCAAAGTAAATAAATAATATAGTGGTTAAGTGGAGGTTTTTACCAATATTATTAAATGAGTAATTTTGTTATTGTTAACAAAGTAATGTATCATACGAACTATACGTTATAAATATATATATATTGGACATAAAGTATTTCTTTCCTTTAATTATGTGTCTTTATTTTGGGTTGTCAAGGGAAACATCAAAAGGTTTGAAATCTAATAAGTTGTATTTTGGAGTAGCCTGTTCCACTTCCGAGCTCCAAAATAGTGGTGCAGTGTAGTCGCGCAGTAATAAGTGATGGCTTATTCCCTACTGGGAACCTGGCACGGGTTAATTTTGGAGAGGAATCACCCTTCTGAAAAATTTGAACCCCATATCACTCAAAAATGTGACTTAACGGAAAAGAAACTATTCTTCCATACTGATTCCACTATAGTCGAAGCCTAAAAAGTGAAAAATAAAGTGGCAATAAAAAGCTGGTTTTCCTTGGGTGTGATCCAATCAACCAAAATTCCGATAGGGAAAACTGGTCCACATCAAAAGGTGGACCACTTTTTTTGAAACTTTTCCGGTTGGATGGAACCTATCCATTGAGTTTTGGACTGAAACTTCCGGAAATTTTGGTTGAATGGATCGCGCCCTTTGTATCCGTACTATTCAAGAAAGTGAGGGGGGCACTTTATTATTATGTAGGCGCTTATTCAAGGAAATATGGTATCTCAAATACTGTATTTGGGTGAACTATGATTTTGCCACTTACAAGTATAAGGGGAAGTCAGCAGGACAAAACCAAACTAAACCAAATTGACTAGACAGTGGTGTCGGAGATGGGTATCCTGTTATGGACAATTCATTGGTCTGAAAAATGCTGCACTCTGAACTCTGTAATGTGGACACTTGAATCTGTCCCTTTCACTGGGCCTGGTTAGCATAGCATAGGTCAAACAATAAGACAAAAATAGGTACAGGGAAAAATACACAATAATGCATACAGGCACGTGATGTAGGCATGTAACTGCTTTTCAGGGTTGAATCCAAAAAGCGTTTAATAGAAACATATTACAAATGCTTCCTTTTCCACGTTGATGATAATTTTATAAAGCAATGTTTCTCCATTTATTTCTGCTTACACAGTTTCTTTTCTCTGCAAAACTCATGCAGTACCCTAGTAATACCAAAAATACATGTCTAGAAACAACATTTAAATATTAAATATTATGTTTTTTACAGAATGACCTCTTTTTAATGGCAAAAATATAAATTATTGGACTCACAGCAAGTGCAGAAAAATAGCTTGTCCATTTTTCTTGATATGGCATTATCGAGTTGGATAAAGAGCAGAGATCAACTGATTTTCTGGTTGCCAGGTTTGATGTGACAGGCCTCGCAAAAAAAGTGTCCTGTCTGGTCATCCAGGACAAGTAAATTAAGCCGGAATCCATCAGAAAATTGAGTAATTTTAATTTTTATTGGACAAAAACCTTGTACCAGAATAATTTAAGGAATATTGCATTCTTTTTTACACTTTTCAAGGGCTATAGATGTAATAAGTTATTAGTTATGTGTAATAACCCTAAAGAAAGTTTCTTGTGGGAACCCGAGAAAATTAATGTCAAACTTCACAAAATAACATCTTGCACATGAAATTTTCAGAATTTTACCTGTGTTTTCACAATTCTTGTAAAATTTGACATTCATTTTCTTGGGCTCCCACAAGAAATTTTCTTTGGTGTTACTACGGATAACTAATTACATCTCTAACTCTTGAAAAATGTAAAAAAGAATGCAATATTCTTTAAATTATTCTGATACAAGGTTTTTGTCCACTGAAAATTAAAATTACTCAATTTCCTGGTGGATTCCGTATTAAATCTGCTGTAGACTAGCTAGAAAGTTTGTCTTTACGTTTGCCCAACGGGCAAGGGTCTAAGCTTGTCATCTTCTAACTAAATCCTTAACTAAGACGAGCAAGAAGTGACCTCGGGCCAGCAAAATGTGAGAGCTGCTTGCACAAAGGACAAGCTAGCCTCCCAAGCAGATGTTCTTAGGGGTTCGTCACGCATTCCTGCCCCAGAAACGCGTGATGAACCCCTACGACCGTCTGCGTGGGAGGCTAAGGACAAGCTGGAATTTAAGTTTTTTTCAAGCCCTGTGTAAGCAAGCTGTTTGGGGGTGGGGGAAGAAAAAGAGCATTTTCTCCCCACCCTACCCACCAGAGAGCTTGCTCGCAGGTTACTACTGAGTGTTGCATGAAGTCATAAAAACGAGATTCAAGTTACTTACGAGTCGTATGAGTTGTCAAATAATGTTTACCATTTGTGCGATTGTCTTAAGTGATGACTGTGATATGTTGTGCCACTTGAATAGGGCTATTAGAAGTGTCTTTGATCATGAGATGCAGTTTAACCAACATCTCATATTACTTTCCTAAAATCTATTTCAAAAGGCTTTTCTCACAACTTGTACCATTTTTAAGAGTTGTAGCGCTTGAAACAAGACTTTTACGACTTGTACAAGTGGTGAGTATTGTACAACATTATGCAGCTTTCAACATCCAACAATGTTGTAAGTTATTTATGTACAATTTTTGTACGATTTCAAAACATATTACCATACTGTATTGTAACCACTTTTGCCAAAAGGGGTCTGTGTACTGTATTGAAAAATTTCTCCTTAGCTCTGCTGTATTTAGATGCTGCAATGCTGAATATAGTGCATGCCCAAGGAAAAATAAATTACTAAAATGTTATCAATTTTCCAACCTAGAAGTGGTCTTTTGTGTCTTTTAGATGGTCTGCATTATGTAAATAGAAACATGTAACAAACTCGATCGCTTTTGTCTGTTCATTTAAATTAATTTGAAATTTTGAAACTCCAGTGTTTGGGGAGACTGCTCCAATTCTGGGTTTCTCCAGGAACTTTGTAGGATATTTCTCAGCTATGTAGTAGAGTAACTCTCGTATAGCTCCACCATGACTAACAACAAGAAGGTTAGCCACACAGGACGATTTTTGTCCCTTGTGAATCCCCTCTTCTGAGGTTGGTACACAATTTTTATTCTCAGTTTGATGACTAGGATGATTCTGGGTTTCACACGTGGCGCAGTTACTGTCATTGAATGAATTTCCAATATGATCAATCATGGAATCAAAGAACGTTCCAACTCTTCTTCTTACTTGGTCAAGTGTTTCAGCTCCCTCAGGAACAAAATCACGTGGTTTTACACTAAATTTTGCTGCCATTTGAAGAAACTCTGGCTTTGAGCATCCTTCAGCTGCACCATAACACTAAACAATCACAAGGAAACTGTTTGAAAATGTACATCAATAACCTCACTGTCAGCAAGAAACTTGGCTAAACTCCATACAGATTAATAAATACTTTATATGCATGTAAGTAAGGACTATGTGCCAAAAAGGGAAAACAAGACAGATCAACCAGAATGTGGTTTTACATTGTAACTTCTTTGACTAGTGACTGGTCATTCAACACATGCCAAAATGAAAATATCAAACATATGAGCAACAAAAATTTATTCTTTGTTTATTTTAGTGTCACATCTATTATTAGTCTTGCTTGCATAAGCAGTGAGACTCATAATCTGCAATGCGTTTTTTGCCCCGGGGGGTGGTCCTTATATAGGCTACATAGGTATGTGCTGTGCCAAAGGGTATGTTTTTTTTAGCCGTTTTGGTCTGAAATAGGGTATCAATTTCGACCATTTTGGTCTGAAATAGGGTATGGTTTGTGCACTCTATTCTTCAGTTGGGAATTTTTTAGAAGAATTAGCTACTTCTTCATCATTTGGTGATAAGAACATTTCCCTTTTAATGTTTATGCCAACTACCATGTATGTGCAGTAACAGCTTGTGACGCGCTCCGGTCATGTGCTGGGCTACAGGGCTTCAGGTCTGAAATAGGGTAGGGAAAATCACAGATTTTGGTCTGAAATAGGGTAAGGATTTCAGGAAGCGCAGTGTCCAAAGAAAGTCATGTCCGATAGCTCGGGGCTAGTGGATTTTGCTATCTGGCTAGTGATTTTTGTCCTTAACTTGCCCGACGGGCGAAGGCTGTTTTTTGAGGAAATTCAAATTACAGAAGGATTGTAATCAATCCTGCTAATCAGAAAGGGTATTTTTGGTTGTTTTTTTTTGGGGACACAAAAGGCAGGTCATTGTGCAAGGTGTTCCTTGCGGAGACTGAGGAAACTGGGACTAAGAATTGATGCGTGATCGAAGCCACGCATGTTTTGTGAAGAAAGCTTAGAAAAGATCAAATTTAGAGCTTTTCCAAAATGTGTCCGTCCACGAATTCTATCAGTTGAAAGTGTTGATTACTTTGGGGCAAGTGAACACTACTGAGTGGTCAAAAAAAATAAGAACCTTAATTAGCAAAATTGCCATGGTAGGATGTTGTAAACTTTCACTGTATGCAAATGAGTCTTGTTATGAGCATGCGATTTATTTTCGGTGATGATTGAAATGACGTGCCATGTAAATCACTTTTTCGATCTCTGGCAATGATGCAATTTCTCTGGAATCGAGGCCCTTGAATTTTTGTGTATTTATACATGCGTATAGCCTGCGACCGCAGGGCTATTTTTGGTCGTCACTAACACATGTACTAAATCAATTCAGAAACAAATAAAAGTATTGACGTCGATAAAGTAGAAAGTAAAGAAACTTTAGCGAGTAAACCATGTTTCTTGTAGAATTAATCGCCTCCTCATTTCTCGATCTAATCTCCAAGCAGGCGAGACCTGAATGCCGCTGTAGGCACGTTCTTGTTTTATCTACTGGTATGTTCATCCACTGCGACACATTACCGTACCCTAGCCTGTAGCACTCTATCTGCTGCAAGACCTATATCATGCCACTGTGACACTGCACTATTTTTAAGCAATAGACCACACTTTCTGTGGGTTTACCGGCATGATAACCTACACGGGATGTTGGGAGAACACGAGAAAAGCTTGTAGATGATGAGCCGAAGGCGAGTGATTTAAGCTTTTTGAGTGTTCTCCCAACATCCCAAGTGGGTTATCACGCGGTTAAACCCATAGAAAGTGTGGTCTGTTGCTTTTATAAAGTAACTTTAAGTTTTCTATGAGTTTACCGGCACAATAAACTTAGGTTTTTAAACAATCAGAGCGCTCATACTATCTTAGTTATTTTATAAAAGACCATAATTATGTCTCACTAATGTCATATCACTCCATATCAATATTAGTCTGCTACACACCCGTTTTTAGTGTTGTCACGCAATGCCCCTGGGGAGGAGCATTGCGTGAGGACACTAAAAACGGCTGTGTAGCAGACTATATCAATATACAAATGTGTCACAACACTTCATTATTTGTCACAGCACTGCCTACCACTTCTTGGGTCATACTGTGTATGTCACACAACTCTGTGCAACAGTCTAATTGTGTCACATTTAGACAAGTTACATTATTCTGTGCCACAACACTATGTGACACAAATTGCATCCAGCTATTAGTGTTATACCCCTTTGTCATCATACCACTTTGACAAGCTCTTTTTTCCTATGAAATCTAGGAAGCTTGTATTATTGCACTAAATTATTAAAGTAAGACAAATGATAATATTGTACTTACTCGTTCTCTAAGTCGAGAGTCCTGCTCAATTTTCAAGTGAGAACAGAAATTACTTTTTCTGACAATCTCCTCTGCAGTCTAAGAAATACAAAGATCTAAATCAACTTTTATTTGACACTAAAGGTCACTGGCAATTAGATGTAACTCCAAATTGAAAGGGTGTGTGAAAAAAAAGTTTAGTTCAGTTCTTTATTTACTACAGCCAAATCAACTGAATACATACAGAACAAAATTAAACGTAATGTTGTATCATACACTGGCAGGAGACCCCTAGATGACTTGTTATAACTAACTGCAAGATTTTCATTCCAAATTATCCTGTATTTCCTGTATTTTTACAAAAGGAAAATGAGTCATCAAGAGTCGGGGGGAAGTGTAAAAACTGCAATAAAATAATACAGAGCTGTCGCTAAGATTTCATGTAGCTCGGAATGCCCAATTTTCGAGTTGCCCCAAGGCTCTGCTTCAAATTGAGGCTAAGTGCAAAGCCATGGATATGATGATTTAACAACAATTATTGAATGAGGTTAAGCAAAATATTGTGATTTGTCAGCCGAAGGCTGAGGCAAATGATTTCTCTTCGAGACACTAACAAATCATGATTTCAGCGATAACCGAGTTCAATAATTATTGTTTATCATTCAATCACCGAGTTTGTTTTTTAATGGATATCTTCGGTAAGTGAAGTGATCTGCCATTTTCATGCAAGAGTCGTTGCAAGAAGGAGAAAAGCTTGGTTACCTTTACGCATGAGCAGAAAATTATTTGCAGCCAAACAAAGTTGGACGACATTGCGCATGTACTTAGCCTCGTTTTGAAAGTGAGCATTTTTGAAACTCAGAAGGGGCCGATTGAACAGTAGGCTTTGGTTATGCTCACAGTAGCTGGGGGCGGAGGGAATCCCCAGTCCCCAGCCAAGGGTGACAGACATGTAATACTATGTTTGCAAGTCTTTTACCCAGCATACCAGCCATACAGTGATAGTTCTTTTTAAAACATGCATGTTTTCAGTTATTGATTTGTCCAATCCAGCATAATAAGAAAGTTTGAAGAAACAAGCATAACATTATTCATACAATTCAAGAATTGTATTAACATTATTCATACAAATCAAGAATTGTATTCAAGACTGTGCTCTATGAAAAATTGAAGGGAACCCACTTCTTTCAATCTGTGAAATACAAGGTGCCCAGCAAATGCTTTCTATGAATAAAATAAGATTTTTCAGTCACCCAGGAGCAAAAAGAAAGCACCAGGGGCCACCAGGAACTGCTAGAGCACAGCCTTGGTACATTTTGTTGTACTAAATAATACCGTAAATCCTCTATCAGGCCCCGGAGGGGGCTTATTTATTTCAAGCCCATTTGAGGTAATAGAGAGGGGGGGCTTATTTGAGAGGAGTTGGGGAGGGGGCTTATTTCATTTAGAAAAGACAACGGTACCAGCTCTCCATAAAGACCTAGATACAAAGTGGAAAAGCTCATGTACAAGACCGTTGGAGGTCATGCAGCCGAGGATCAGAATCGAATCTGAACTTCCAGTTGGTGAACAAACCATCCGGGATCAGTCTACACAAAGTTTAACAGTCGTGACTGATTAATACAGTCTATCAGTTATTAGTTAAGGAGGATTAGGGGAGGGTAGTGGGGGCTTATTTACTTTCTTCCCCTGAAAAGGGGAGGTTAAATATTAGAGGGAGAAAGCTTATTTGAGAGGGGGGGCTTCTAAATAGAGGACTTACGGTAATAAAATATTCAACTGAAAGAGGAGACAAGGGGCAAATCTAGCAAAAATGATACTGTGCCCGTTGTAAAAATCTACAAGAAAAAGTGCCATCAACTGCTTGTAAACACTAACATTAAGGAAGAAGATAACTCAAAAAAAAAAGAAAATACAGTCAACTCTCCTAATGGACACCTTGCCACACTGGACAGCTAGAGTTGTGTGCTGCCTTTCTTTTGCTCCTTTTAGTTTACTCTCTATAGGACGGACATCTCTCGAAGACAGGCACATAGATGGTGCCAGTCTTAAAGGTGTCTGCATAAGGGAAAGTTGGCTGTTGTAAAAAAAAATTAAATAAAATAATGTAAATACATGTAAAGATAATGCATCATTAGCACATGGAAATTGAGGAATGTAACAGTGATGAAGTAGTTTTTTAATTTCTAATTTTTTTTCTCCAACTGTTTGGCAGTACACCCCGATAATTTATATGATATGAAACTTACATTCCGTGCCCTTGATAAATCACTGGAGAAAATGTGTGAGAACCGTTCATCTTGCAGTTTGGTACCAACCAGCTGGGCTTGTTCAATTCCTTCCTCCGACAAAAAAGTATCTATTTGTCCTACAATTTCAATAAAATTAAACCAGTGATTTAATAAATGCAAACACATGATAAAGTCTGTCTCAATGAGTGTATAAGTTGCAGATGAAGTAAAAATGTGGTCTACAACTGACCACATGCACAGTTGTAAATTATATGATTGTCTTTCTTCATACAATATTACAATAAAGGGGAAAAATCAGTTTTCTGTTGGGACGGTACATTAAGCTTTCCTAGAAGAATGCCATTCCTTTTGCAATGTGTCTAAATTAATATAATTACCATTAGTGTTAATTGAACACACATTTCTGAATATTTAAAATTTGCACCAGCATTTTTTTTTAATTTGCAAGGCACAATCAGTGCTACACCAATTTTTCACTCGGGCCAATGGCATGAAGAGCCCTTAAAAATATATTTAAGTCTATAGATGGAGAAAAACACTGTGTTTTTACCTTGAAATATGTCATTCTTGTTTTCTGGAGTTTGACCACTGGATAAGAAAATTACAGACAACAATTTATTGGTAGTTAAAATTACAAATTTTGTTAAAAAAGAGTTTTACTGTTTAACTATTAATAAGAACACTGTGATCACTTTACTGGAGAGAAACATTCCAAAAATGTTAATTGTCTTATTATAAAATATTAAACAGTCAAAGCAAAGATCAGGCTGGTGATATTGCAAGCAAGCCACAAAGCCACAAGCTAATAAACTTTGCTGCTTGTGGTTTAGTTTCTTATGCCTGATTCCTTTTCCTTGCAACACAATAACATTCCAGAAATATTTCTGGAGTTCACGGTTTTCTGAATTTCCCATTAAAGAGAGAAAGGGCAAAGCAATGCTTCAATGATTTTGTCTAATTTCAACCAAAATGATGATGGATACATTATCCAACAGAGTTTAAAAAAGGGACTCATTATTAAAAAGGTTGAAATTTCTGTTTGCTTGTCATGCTAAAAAACCTGGACGCTTAAGCACCATTTCACAAAGAAAACAGAAACAATAATGGAAGAGCTCTTTGCAAAAATGTACTTGTGATAATTTGATAATTTTGGAAAGTGATAAAAATTATTATTATTATTATTATTATTATACAATTTGCTAGAAATTATGACACAGTAGTTGGTTTACATGCCATTTGGTTGAAAAACACAGGCAGCAATAGCCCCCTCCCCCCTCCACTAGGAAAAAAGAAGCCCTTACCCCCTCTCTCCCAGACGCTTGTTCATTGTTGATTGAGGTCAAATGTATTGATCAAACAGGGTTTAGCTTGAGTTTGGATTCACTTCAGAAAGCTGCATGTATTCTATGACATTGAAAAGAGGGGGGAGGGGCTTACATCTCCAGTATAGTGCAAAAAAAAGGAGAGGCAATGAAGTGACATTATAGAAATGACTAATCTTCCTTTCAGTAAGATATTGCACAGCATATGCAATTAATGGCCTTATGGATCACTCAATGGAGCTACTAACAAACAGGGATGTTCATATCATTATAATACAAGCAATAGAGACATGCTTAGAATACCCTAGACTGTCCTTCACTTCTCATTTCCGGTTCCGGTAGTTGGCCCCAGCGCGAAGGATTTTTATCCCCTGCAGCACGCCAAATTTACAGGAGGAATTTTCCTCCTGTAGGTTTTATCCAATCACAAATGGTTTTACTGATGCGCCGTCAATCAAACCCAATCACGCCACATGAAACGTAACTTGAACTGTTTTGATCCAAATACAAAGCTTTAGTAGGCGTTTTATCTTCCTCCATTTGAGTACTTTACCAAGGTCTGATTTTCCTGGCAGCCATGGAGTAAAAAAACATTACCGACTTGTTTTGTTTCAATTAAACGCACACACTACAAAGTTTTTATATTTTTTATGTTTTCTTTCATGGCGTATGGAAACCTTGCAATGAGCCCGAAACGTCTGGAGAGTGAGCTCACAAATATCACAAGATGACACTTTTGTTCACTACCCGTTTTTCAAATTGAACACTCCTTTATTTACTTTCTCTTATCCGAATTTTTTCCGTTATTTGTTTGTTTTGACATACTTAGACAGCTCGCGACAATACACGCACACAACAACAACACACACGACAGGGACGCAAATACTTCGCACCAAAATAACGTCACTTGATGATATTTTCTGCAGGGGAAACAAGTCGAGCTTTTGCTCTCTTCGCTGCAGAAAACATAAGGAAATCTACCACTCATGCTTTGCACTCGTGAAAAAATTTGAGCTCGACTTGTAGGCAAGTCTAAGACTACCCCTGAAACCAAAAACTGGGGTAAACAGAGACTGTGTTATCACTCTCTGAAAGATTGGAATAATCTAGAAAAAGACATTAGAAATGCACCTGACATTGTGAATTTTAAGCATAGCACTTTTAGCAGCTTTTTTCTTTAATGCTTTTTGTATTTCAATTGTAGCTTTTCATCAATTTTTAATTTAGTACTTATATATATATATTTCTTTCTAGGTATCTTTCATTTTACTGTATATAGTCTAATTTAGTACTTTTAATCATAGTTAATTGAGTGGAATGGTTATGAAACCCATCAGACTCCTTTATGTTTTTGTGGACCTGAAAGTACACAACATTCAAGAGCATTCCTTTGATTTTGATTGTATTGACCAACAAAAACGTTGCATGAATTTATTCTGTAACAATTTGCCAACAGAAAACAAAGGATTGACTTTCAGGGTGCTTCCAACATAAACTGCAGCAGTGTTGTTTTTATCATTGATGTTTGCTGCTTTTCATAACCATTCTCATCTAGTAACTATGTTTTAATCTACGTTAGGTCCTTTCTGAAAACCACAGTGATGTGATGAAAGATTAAAAGATTATTATTATTATTATCATTAGAAAGCAAAAAGTCAATCAAAGTAAACTCAGGATACAATTAGCCCATTATAAAAACTAAAAGTGTGACAACTGCTTTTTTCTCTCCTTCTTCTTTTCTCTTTGCTCCCTCTTTTTTGCATCTCCTTATCCTTCTGTGTTGTGATGTTTGGGTTTCTCAGATCCTCCAAACTTGAGTTTTGGTTTTATTTTAGGCAAATTGCAGCAGTTTTCACTGATTAGTAGGCTAATAGAGCCTGCTGGAAGATTTCATATGTTGATCATTGACTTGTTTAGATTTTTTCAATTAACATATTTTGAAAAAACTCTATTGTGCAGTTTCCAAATTATTTGCTCATTTGTTACAGTAGACCAAAATATTTACAAAAATGCCAACAAGAGCACCTCAAGGTATCCTAATCAAATCCTTCTTTCTCAAATTCCGGCAATCAGTTAAAGCTATCTCCATGATTGAAACTGAAAATTGCAATTCATTCAAAATGCTTCATTTTCTAAAGAATATTTAGAAAAGTCCAAACATTGAGATTTTCCAGTTTTCGCTGTATTTCTAACCATAATAAATAGATTTAGCCTGGGCTAAAAGCAAAGCTCTCAATAATATTTGTAGTTTGCTCAAAACAAAATATAAAATCCTGTAATGCTAAGCGGCCAATGCAACGAGAACGGCAAAAAAACAGCAATAGGTCTAATTAGCTCGAAAACAATTTCCCATGTGCAGCACACTTTTTTGTACATTTGTTTGCCATTGTTTAGCACGACTCCAAGGTGAAACTTTTTATGAATGAAATGTTGTACTTGTTCACTTTTTTTTCACGTCGCTCATTTTCACCCTGGTGGATGCAAGCATTTCTCAGGGTCGGCCAGCGGGGGGGGGGGGGGGGGGGTGGTTGTATACCAGTATACCTGAAAAAAATTCCCCAAAATACCCAAAATTCATCCAAAAATACCAAAAATTAAACCCAGGTATACTTTATACCTGAATTTCAAAGAAAGTGATAAACCGAAAACCCGAATTTAACCTCCAAAAAACCGCAATCCCATCTCTTTTTTTATTTCTTTTTTCATTTTTTGTCTTAACTTTTATTAGAGTTTATTTTTTTATAATTCTTTTTTTTTTTTTTTTGCTTTTTTTTTCCCTTTTGGTCCTTTCCCGCGGGGGGGATAAGTGGTTGGGCGGGGGGGGGGGGGGGGGGTGGGGGTGGGGGGGGTAGTTGTATACCAGTATACCTGAAAAAAATTCGCCAAAATACCCAAAATTCATCCAAATATACCAAAAATTATACCCAGGTATACTTTATACCTGAAATTCAAAGAAAGTGATATACCGAATACCCGTATTTAAGCTGCAATATACCGTATATCCGATTTAAAAAGCCCCTGTATACCCTATACCCAAAAACCCTGGCCGACCCTGATTTCTCATTTTCTCACCACAGGCACAAAATTTCATGTTGTTCCTCCAACCAAAAATGTCTCCTTTGTTTTTTCTCTCTCGCTCTAGCTCTTTTTCTTGTTGAGCTTCGCTGGCCTGTCCCCCTACTTGCTCTTTTTCTATTTTCCAAATTTGTGGGCATGACAATTTTTTTAGACAACAAGAATACAGAAAAATTTTCCTTTTTCTGTTTTCGTCTTTATTGACTCTATAGTTGTCTTAGCTTCACAAGACGCGGGTGGCCACACCCTTTCCCACCTAGCCTGTTCAAGGCTTGCAGATAGTGGGAAAGACGTGAAAGTAAAAGGCATGTGAAAATGTTGGCGAGGCGGGAAAAAGGAAAATGGAAATGGGAGAGAGCCTGTATTCATTTCTTTTACGACCCTCTTCTGCCCACTTTTGGAGCGTTTGAGATAATTAGATTTTGGCTGTCAAACCGTTGAAATGTCAATGGAATCTTTCTCAAATTTCTCATGAAATTATTTTACACTGCACTAATCCCTCAAGCAAGCATGAGCAATTTGGAGTGCAAAAAGCAGGTTGGTAGGCAACACCAACGTTTACCTCGTGCCAAAATGCTGCTTGTTCCAACGAATATTTTCTCTTTCAGGTAGATTATGCTCTGGAGGGGTCTACATTTTGACTGAGCAAACAATGTTGCTGCTTGCTTCATGCTGATAGGTTGTGACACCCATATTGATTCTCAGCGGTTATCGTTTCTGGTTGGCTTGGCATGATTGATGATTTTTTGTCCGATGCAAGAGCATTTAATTTTCTCCAAAGTCCGTCCTTGATCTGAATAAAGCAATTTTGTTTTGTCTGTGAATGTGATGGTTTCCTACAATGAGTTTTGTCACGCTGGGCCCACCTCATTAGTGTTTTTGCAGGATGTTGAACTCTTACTGTTAGTAATTCACAGATCCAAATTTCGAAGAATGGATTGCAACTTAAACTGAAGCTACTTTAAATATGGAGAACTACATTGTGGGTCAGTCAAGATTGCTCTTTAAGCAATGATTTTTTAACTCCAGCTTGTTCTTCTATAGCCTGCGAAAACAGCTATTTCTCCTCGCTCTTCGCCACTGGGGATGCTGTTTTTGCAGGCTAGTTCTTCTAAAGAGATCCTCAGATAATGTGAGTTTTGACTGGAGCGTGTAGATAACTTCTTCCTGCGACTGTTCTGTTGTTGCCTCTTTGTTATCAGGCAAAACCAAAGCCAGGCAGCAGGATTGCAAAAACATTTTTTCTATGTGTCAAGTTCACAAGGAAAGTCTTCTGTTCCTCCCTCAGCGCTCCTATGTGTGGGAAATCTCATAAACATTCGTTTAACACAGAAGTTATAGTGGATTCCACTATTTCACGTGCGTGGATGCTGCATGCCATCTTTCTGAGTGACAGGAATGACCGCGCTTTGAGAGTGTTGATATAATCTGGTAAATCTGACCAATCAGAGGGTATACCAGGAGCTGGTATACCGCAATAAGTTGTTTAAAGAAATGATTACAAGCTCCGCCACCCCTTCTCTCCCCAGGTTCCTCACATTTTATTTTTGTGTTCGTGCTTTCTCAATTCAGCGAGCCCGACTATCTCGGAGTCTGGAACAGGCTATTTCCCACCAAACTGATAACCTGACATTAATTTTGACATCGGCCCACATGTATTGGGTGTACGGATGGTTGTTCAGGCGTACGCTAAATCATAACCAAATTTTCTTGCTTCCATGGGTTTCCAATTTGTCTTACCCATGGTGCTCCACTAAAAACCTCATACCAAAAAATTAAAAAACGCTCAAATACCGTAAAATTCCGAAAATAAGCCCCTCCATGTATAAGCCCCTCCAAATATAAGCCCTCCAAACTGGTAACGCAAAAAACCCTCAGTTAAATTGCCCCTCCAAATATAAGCCCCCCGGGGGCTTGTACTTGAAAAATATCCCTCAAATACAAAGTAAAACAAAGCAAAAATGGTAAATTTACTTCCAACTATAAGGCTAGCCCTATCTATTTTGAAACGCAAATTTCCCTCCGTAGATAAGCCCCTCCAAAAATAAGCCCCTCAAAAAGGGCCTTTGAAAAATATAAGCCCTGGGGCTTATTTTCGGAATTTTACGGTATTTTGCCCCAAATTCTTGGACACTGGGGCACGTATAGGAGGAACAACCTCTCATGAGCAATTGTGGAAAAAACGCCCAGTGCCAAGAAATATGGCTGTAAGTAAATAGATAATGATGTCATTTTGTTGCTATGATGACTCTGATGTCAACATTACACTGCTCATGATAAATTTTCATCTTTGTCTAATAAAGCTGTGGAATTCATTTTTCCATATCTTTGTTAATGGCGACATAGTTAATGCTCAAACTTGGGAGGTATTGGCCCTAAAAAAATCCAATCCAGCCACCTCAAGTTGTCCATTCTAGAGTTTGGTAGTTATATTTTCAAAAATCCAACCTGGCCAATCTTGCAAAATGTACCATTTTAGCACACAGCATTTAAGGTCACTGGGTCTTGGACTTGCTTGTTTTAGAAAATCAGTCAGCCAGATTTTTGAAAATGCCACATGTAGAGTGCAAAGTTGTAGCTATCCACTTTTTCTTGTTGAAACACAATCTCACTACATGTCAAAGTGGCCAATATAAGAGTGCAACCATGTTTCCCCCTGCCCTCCCCACCTCCTTTTATAGATACTAATATCCATGAGATTCTTATCAGCTTCATGGATTTTACCATAACTTTGATTGGCTATTTTCCCTATTCTCAGTGCAACTGCTAATAAAGTTTCAGAAACATTGAAACTCAAGCAGCTTTAAGCTTAAACTGAACCCAGGCTGAACTTAACCAAAATACTCAAGCCTAACAGAGACAATACTATTGTCTCTGATGGGGTGCATTCTTTATAAAGTGAAAAATAATCCCTCTGCGCTGAAGAGTCATATATGCAAGGATGATATAACTATTAACATTATCCTCTTGGCAAGCATCACAAAATCTCCTGGGATGCTAGCTGAAACCATTTATGGGTTAAATAATTAAACGTAAGCTTACTTGAGCTCATAATGCTTTCGTATTTATATATTTAATATAATACCGCCTTTCAAAATGAGTTCGCCGGTCGTCTTGCCCTCTTTCACGGTAAACCCTCTTTTTAATTCAGCATATACAGTTTCTAAAATAGAACAAAAGAAAAAAACAACTCACTTACTGTCTGACAAGAAATAGAAGTATGTAAGGACCTCCTCTATCTTGTACGCCGTTTACAGCCGCCATTTCACAGGTGCTGGGTGAGACACGACACTGCACTTACTGCACAGGCTACCCAGACCGACCCCAGACACCTCGGCCGACCGCGAGGAGTCTGAGAACGAGAAGAGGAGGAAAAAAAAGTTCTCTTTTCTCTCCCCATTCGTTCTCTTAGGCTACCTCAGTTCAAATTACTTTCTTTACTTACAGTATGACAGATAAAGTTATACCTCTCTTTCTACTTTTAGTGATCTGAACTTAGTCAACAGTGGGTATGCATGAGTCAACAGCAGGTATGCATGATGGCTGCAATTGTACCTCTTTCTTAATTCTAAAACCTTCTTCTACGAGGAGGCTCCAGATGAAAGAGGTTCCTTTTTCTTTTTCAGGCTTAGGAATATAAGAGGGTAGGGATTTCACTTGTTGAAGTAAATGAAAGTGTAGGGAAATCTGTCATTTCAAAGGGCTAACAAATGCATTTCATGGCTGTGAAAATCCAAGAAAACGTTCTGGTTTTCTGATTTATTCATATCAAAAAGACAGTGCATTTACAGCAGTTAAAAGGGATGCAAAGCTCTAAACTAGTAGGTGAAAGGGGTACCATTTGCCAATACAAGGTATACTAAAGGGGAACCTTTTCCGAAATAAAAATGGCATAAAAGAAGGGTATGGGGTAGGTACTTGGCCCTTTCCCTCCCTTGTATAACTTTTTGAGTGATTTGATCTGTGGGTTTGATTATCAGCCATGGCTTTGAAAATGGGAACATGCTCCCTCCTTGAAAAAATCTCTTCTCTGCGTGGAGCAAGGAGACTAAAGAAATTACTGGTAACTTTTTCAGGCCTCCAGAAGCCGCTTAATGGGCTCCCAGTAACAGCGCTAACAGATCCATTTGATGGTTAATTCTGGTTTTGTGGTTTGCAGCTAAGAGGAATATAAATTTCTAAATGAGGGATGTGAAAGCCAAGGGGCACCATTTGTCAACAGAAAGTATACAAAAAGGATAGCTTTTCTGTCATAAAATGGTATATAAAAGGGTGAGTCTCCCTGTATAAAGGATTGTTGAGTTATTGATCTGTCTTTTAACTGGTAGGGACCTGGGGGGTGGGGGGGGGGAGAACTCAACAATTGAAGTGATTGGAAATAGGGACTATAAGCTCTTTCTCCTCACTTGATGGTAAATGAAGACAGACGTACCCGTGAATCTGTCATGTGGAACCCGTTATTGAGCTAGCCAGCTGGCAGTTAATGGGAACTGGGGGGTATTGTGACAAACACAGTCATTATTTTTGAATGCTAAATGCTCATGTCTGTACCTGCGCTATCCTGTTCTAACACATTTTATGCCCATTGTTCTTGGCAAACAAAACAACCCAAAAGCTCAGTATTAAAAAATGAATAATTTCCATGGGACGTTTTTGACACCATATTCAATAATCTAGCACACTTGGCAAAATCTTGTTGTCTAAACTTTGTAATGCTTATTTATTTTTAAACTATAGATAAAAACCTAACTCCCATGATAATAAACTTTGTCAAACCATCGAAATAAAGTACATGGTTTACTGTGATGTACAGTGTTCTTGGTAAACAAAACAACCCAAAATTGCAGTATTAATAAAAGAATGAATATTTTACATGGGAAGTTTTTGAAGCCATATTCAATAATCTAGCACACTCGGCAAAATCTTGTAGTCTAAACTTGGAAACACTTCTTTATTCTTAAACTATAGATAAAAACCTAACTCCCATGATGATAAACTTTGTCAAGCCATCAAAATTAAGTACATGGTTTACTGAGATGAACAGTGTTCTTGACAAACAAAACAACCCAAAATCGTAGTATTAATAATAGAATGAATAATCTACATAGGAAGTTTTTGAAGCCATATTCAATAATCTAGCACACTTGGCAAAATCTTGTAATCTGAACTTGGAAACACTTCTTTGTTCTTAAACTATAGATATAAAAACCTAACTCCTATGATAAGCCATCAAAATAAAGTACATGGTTTCCTGAGATAAACCATCCTGTCACCTACATTACACCTTAAGCATACTAAGAATTGACTCCATGAAAGGAATGATTTAACCCAACTTTCAGTTTGAAAATCTCATTCTAAGGGGAACAAATGGACACTGAAAAACAAAATAACATATGGCACTTATAGCCCGGTATAATGCTTTAATAAATCTGTAATATTGACCATGTGCGAGGTCAGGAGGGCTGGATATTTGTCACGAATGAGAAAATATCTGGCCATCTTGACCAAACAAGCTTGGTCAATAATAGATACATTATGTGGCCAAAACAAAGTATTTTCTATTGAGAGAAAGATAAGCCCATTTGCCCACTCAGATAGGCAATTATCCTAGGAAAACAGCCAACATTTTGTGACGCCACTGGTTTTCCTGCAAAATGATGTCTGAACATGTGCACAAATTTCATCCTGATGGCATGTCACTACCCAGATTACAACATGGTAGTGCTTTTTAATCGGTTGTGTTGCAAGGGAAATTTGCTTTGACCAATAATTTGGAAGCAATACCCAGATTTGAGTAGCGACATGTCATCAGTATGGTGTATTAAAACACTTGTTCCTCAGAGGTCATTTGGCAGGAAAACTAGTGATTGTGTCGTGGGATGACGCCTGTATTCTCAGGTTAGTAGGCAAACACAACGCAGGATTTGTTTCATCTTGCCCGCATACTGTGTGAGCAAGTCCAGTCAGAGAGGAGATAAAATAATATTGCCTGCATCAAGGAAAGTGTTGTGATTTGTACAAAAAAATTTAGCTTACTGGTGCAATAAAGAAGCAATTTTCTGTAGCTTAAATCAAAAACGAATTTTTCTTCAGTTTCGTTCTTTTTTCTTCAAAAATTTTGTGTTGACAAATTTCTATTTGCACGAAAGGAAAAATCCTGAGGTTAAAATTTGAATTAAAAGAAGAGAAATATTTAAACAAAGATAAATTATAAATTAGAAGCCTACCGATTTAAATAAAAGAATCTCTCTAGCGTGAACTTATCTCTGTCGTAAACACACACATTCCTCGTGACAGCGACTGCCATTTAAGGATGCAGATCTGTGTAGGGTCAATGGTCTACAGATAAAATAACTTGTTTATCCTTGATCGCGCCCTTAAACTTTCCTAAATCAGGACAAGGAAATACCACTTACCTTACACAAATAATTTATTAATTCTCCTTTACGAAAACCGCATTTACAACAATTTCAAGCAGGAGCGAACAAATTTCCTTGTAGCTAAGTTTATTTCTCACTATAACATGCCCACAGAATAACACAGAAAAACAAAACAACCGTCAGGTGTTTTTACTACAGCGGCGCAAGGAAGTGGGATTTTAAAATGCCTGTTTATGACTACATATTAAACTGTAAACAGCTGCTGCTAAAACACAACATAAATGGGGAAAGCGAAATTTACCTTCCAGCGACACAATTTTGTAATAAGCTTATATATACTACTACCGGAAAATTTCTAGTACCACAACATCCAACCAAGTCGAGAAAGTCACTGAGATGTTTCCATAATTTGAATTATTTGCGTGTCTTGGACATACTGAACGCTCTTCGTATGTGCGTAGGTCTGTTTAATTCTCCGTTAACACCTTGCACGTTGTCTTTATCCTTTTTTCCTTGATTTTTTCCTGTTTCACCAATTTGCGTGGCTGTGGTGATGCTTGTTACATGACTAAACAAACATGGAGTTGATATCTCCACTTTCTTTAGTTTACGGAATTTCTTTAAACGTTCTTTACTCGTGTGCGTTGAAAGTTTATTTAACTCCGGTGCCGAGGCAGCAGTCGAATTTTCCTCTACTGCATCGATGACACTTTTCAAGAAAGTGTTCGCAGAGTCTTCGCAGTGAAACCGAATACCCGCCATTGTCCCATCGCCAGTTGATAACGCCAGTGTATGAAAGTTCTTTTGTTGCTCCCTGTAATTTGAGTTGGCCGTAATAATCTCTTTCCATGTCGCAAAACCACTTTCTCTTTCCACCAAACCCACATACACTCCTCTAGGATTTCTATCACCAGAGTCTCCTGAACTTACGACCAAAACTGGAACTCCGCTCCGGGAATATGTCCACTGATTCGAAGGTGATTCGGGACTTGGTGGTTGCCAAAAATACAAAACTGCAGTCGTGCCACTCACCACAACGCGGTTAGAAAGGCAAGATAACGAGAGTTTGATCTTGAAAATATCCTTTTCTGATAGCTTTTCGCTCAAGGCTTCGTCACTAACCGTCGCCCTCATTGACATATCTTTGATTTCATAAAACCAGCAAATTTCTCATCAGACGTGACTAGTGATTCGAACAACAGCCTTTGGACTTTAAAAGAAACGCACATCCAACAAACAAAACCCCAGATACTTCAAGAAACACTCCACTGCTATTACTGGATTATCTGGAATTATTGACAGCGAATGATTTCCAATTAAAACGCTCGTAAACTTCGCTTTTCAGTTACTTCACAGTTACTCGATGAAGAAAACGCAGTTTCGAGAATCATCAGTTGAACACCGCTGTGTGACGTCACTGGTCTTTTATTTTGAAGGATGACACGAATGTGTGACCCTTGGGTGTGGCTATTTCCGGTCTTTAGGCCAACGATCGGGGGCATAAATTAAACAGGATTAAACGAGGGAAAATTCTATAACTTTTCAGTTCAATGGCCAACCAAGTTAGTTTCAATTAGACAAGTTACCACTTTAATCAGAATCACAAATAGATTACACTTATCTGCACGCAGGGTACTCCAGACAATAAGGAAAAATGGTCATTGATATATAGCCATTACCATTATTTCCAATTCTTGTGGTTGCCTTGTTGTCATTGCGCTTTTGTAATAAGAGTACAAATACCCCCTGGATAAAACCGATTAAAGAGTAATTTGGAGTGCTAATGAATGAATCCACCATTATGGCGCCGTGTACGCATTACCTATAACTGCTGCTATTAAATTTGTTTATGCTAAACGCGCAAACTTGTAAAAAAGATCAAAGATCCGATAGCCAAATACAGCCTGCGTAGCAAGCGTTTCCTCGCGAGTTCGTCGAGAAAAATGCAGGGACGAGAGCACAAAAAGGAATGACGGGGGAGGGGAAGGGAATGAATGAATGATTTCCTCTTCTCCCCTCCCCCTCCCCCTTCCACCTTTTTTTTTTGCTCCCGCTCTAACTTTCGCGTAATAACTCGATTGGAAACGCCTGCTACGCAGGCTAATAGTCAAATGGCAAAGAAAACCACAAGCAGACTAGGGAACTCCCTAACTGGAACCCCCCCTGGGGAAAACCCTTTCCCCAGGGGGCGTTCTAAAGTCTGCCATCACAGCTGCCACCAGGAGCCCATCGTGTGAGATAAAAGAAGACCGTTTTTCGGTTTTTCACCTACGATAACTGAAGCCCCGACGGATGCCAAGGCAGAGGTGGAACCGGAAAAATCACAGAGGTGGGGGGAACACTTGCCAGCTATACAGATACACAACTTATTTTTTATACTGAGAATTTGTTTCGACCGAAGCACAGAGAAACGGGTGGCCGCGGTCCCACCGGCCCTCCCCTGAAGTGAGAGTCAAAGATTTAACCTGACAAAACCAGTGGATTTCTCAAGGTTGATCGATGCTTTTAGGTTTACTTTTTATCAGAAACAGGTTTCATATGGAGAAAGCGACGAAGATCAGTGTGCGTGATGTGGGGTGTGCGCTTAGAAGTTCGCCACCGAGAGGTGTGGCGGATACAGCGAGCCCAGGTCAGCCGCACATGACTGGTTGTCCTGTGCGAGCTGGACCCAGTCTGGTCTGGAATAATAAAATGGCACGATTTTTCTAGCAAGACCGAAAGAACAAAAACAAAGGAAAAACAACGAATGTGAAGAAAAAATAACGAATAAATAATAAGAAACAGCAGTTTTGCTTTGTGCCGTTCTCGTGACATGCTTGATTATCACATCTTTTTACGACATTCGGAATGCATGTTTTTACACTAGGGGGACGGCCGCACTATGAGGAAGAATTAATTCCTGTTAATTGTCGAAGGACAGGAGCCTATTACCATACTTATACAGTGGAAGCTGTCTTACGGAAACTCTCGTTTATGTTTTTATGTTCGTTTTTTCTCCCCTACAAACTCTGTGTTTTTTTTATCAGTTCCCGTAAGCGGCCAGCTCCAGTAACAGGTCACCTTTTTGGCTCACAAGCGCTTCCACTGTATTATTATTCACTCAAAATATTTGGCTGTTACTGATTGGGTCCAATCCCTCCTAGCCTCCCAACCTCCCAGCTTGTACCATCGATTCGATGGTAGATTTGATTGGGAACGAGGTTGCTTAGGCAGTACACACTTACGACGGAAGCGTGAAAGCGAAGCCTAAGGACCACCAGATTTCCCGCAAAACTTCAAAAATAATAGATAGGGCGGCGAAAATAAGAACAATTTGTGATTTAGAGATTTGGAGCAGTTATGCTAAATGAACGTGTGTTAGAAAGTGGACAGTGGAGAAACTAAACTTCGGTTTAAAGGATCTTTCGGAAATACATGAAACGTCAAGTCTAGCTTTCCTATTATCGGAACGATTATTACAAAGTGCAGCAGCGTAGAATTTGTGAGAACTTATTTTTTTTTGTAGTTGAATTAAGATCACGGTCTTGCGAATAAACACCAGAAAATGCAAAATCGTGCGCCACGCAATACGCATAATCGCGACCTTCCGAGGTTACGAAGTGCGTTCAGCAGAAATAAGAAAACAATTTAACTGGGAAGAGCCTGCCGTAAGGTGGCGAAGGCATTTGAGCCTATTAATGTACTGTAGGATCCTGGGTATGATAAGTAACTCGAAATGTACGGCTTGAACAACTCTTACTGATAAGTCAGTCTAAGCAAACAAACGCAGAATATATTTAATGTTACACTGCGTTATTAGATTCAAAAAACAGATTAATATAGAGGGTCTTGTTCACATAATATAGCCAGGAATGATGAGGAATTCATTACCAGCTGAACGAAAGGTCCGAAAGGCTTCGAAATCTAAACTATTTTTGAAAGAAAACTAGCCAGCAGGCAAGCAACTATATTTATCGTCTGTACCTGAATTGTTTTTAGAGTATTTCTACAGTATTTACCTCTGTTTCAATACGGCTTTCATGGAAATAAGTTTTGTACCTTTTGATTTTACCGTATTGAATGAAAATTAAAAGTGAATCAATCATCTCAATCGCTCCACCCACTCGAAAATGAGAGAAAAGAAAAAAAACAAAGAAAAAAAAATGTAGATGCTTATTATATACAGGACCATTCAGCTAACTGAGAGGGAAGTAGGAACTCTACTGACCAGGACTAACCTAACAAATAAAAGTTCTTCATCCTGTAGTGAAAGATCCAATTACGTCACTTACGTATTAGATATGGGTACTATAACGCAAGTAAAATAATGCAGATTGTACTGTACGGAAAAATATATATTAGATATTTAGAAAGACACTGCCTTGAGCTATTTGAAGGAGGGATTGTTTCGATCAGGTACAGGATTCGGTGCGAAGAAATCTCCTTGATTAGTGAAAAGACATTTGAAAGACAACAAATCTGCGTTTTGTAAAGACCGCAACTACAGTGAAACCTCTATTAAGCGGACCCCAAATTAAGCGGACACCCTCTATTAAGCGGACACTAAGCCGGGTTCCGAAATTAACGTCTTATGTTACCTTTTATAACGAACCCCTATTCAGCAGACACCTGTATTAAGCGGACGCGGACACTCAAATAAAATGTATTAGGCTAATTTTTATAGTTAAAAACCTCTATTAAGCGGACACCGGACTGAATTGACAATAGTAGTATTGGATTATGTCCTCGAAATACGTACTGTAGTCGATTATTAAAGATAAATCAATTCATTTAGCTGTCAAAAAACTGTAAATTAGACCGATATTGTCATCGGCGATCAAAGTTCACCTTAATTATAAAGTCTTGCAAAAACTATACCACAGCTTCCTTAGCTTCCTTGGCAACATGGAACTTTATCACAGTACAGAGTGACCGTTGAATGTTAATCGTTAACAAACATTGCGTAAATTTTAAAACCGCTTTTAAGCGGACACACTCTATTAACCGGATACTTGGGTAGGTCCCGAATGTGTCCGTGTCGAAGAACACGTCACTCGAGCTTACAAAATACTGTTGTGTCTTAATCCGAGATTTAGTGATGATAACATAGAATGTTACTCTAAGCAATACATTGGAAGGTAAATTGCAAAAGATGGAACAAAAATTTTTAAACCTGGAATGGCGCCGGCGGCCTTTCAGGAACCGGGGACTGGACCGGTTTGTTCAAAGCTGGGTTAAGATAACCCAGGGTTAGTGCGAAAATTGAATTCAGATATGAAAGCTTCAAAAGAAAAGTCATTAATCTATTTGACTACAATTTGATAATAGGAACTCTAAAAAGAATGGATACAGGTATAGTTTAGTGTAATTTTGAGTAGTATTTTTAAGAGACTCTTTAGATATGTATTTATAATTATTAAATATTGTTATTTAGTTTATACTTTATATGTAACAAAAAACCTGATGAATTTTTACCGTGTTAAAATAAAGATTTCAGATTTGAGATTTGAGAAAATTATCCGAGAAAGCTGCTTTTTTGATAGTTACAAAAAGAAAAAGAAACCCAACGTAAACCCAGGCCCCGTTCATTGAAAGATGGTTAAGTTTCACCCAAGAACATGTAACTCAACCTTACAAAATAGTGTTGTGTTGAGCTTTTACTCTGAGATACAAAAAAATTAATGAATGAACCCTTATTCACGGGTCAATAAATTATCGAGCAGAGGGAAAACCATCAGCTAATAGGTGTCACCTAACTAAGCTAAAACTGTACATGTATAAAAGAACAAATCAAATTTTAATCCTGGATTAGCGCTAATCGCCCTTTCAGGAACCGGGCGCCGGGTTAAAATTTTATCCTGGGTTATCGCTAATCGGCCTTCGAGCAACTGGGTCTTGATCATGACTGTTCCTTGGAGATTGTTTTCTTGCTGTTTCCCTGTTCGTAATGCCTATCCATCGGTAATCGGTTCCTGCTATCCACGCTTTTAGGTCAGTCGCAGGAGTACTTATATCATAGCTAGAGTATCAGGCCGTCTTTAGGGGTAGGGGGAGGAGGTGTCTTCCTTAGGAGCTAGGAGAGAGATTTCTTCCTCAGAGGCTAAGGGAGAGGGGATTTCTTCCTGAGGGGTTATGGGAGAGGTGGTTCTTCCTGAGGGGCTAGATGAGAGGTGGTTTCTTCCTGAGGGGTTATGGGAAAGGTGGCCACTTTCTTAGGGGCTAGCGGAGAGGAGATTTCTTCCTTACGGGCTAGAGGAGAGGTGGTTTCGTCCTCAGGGGCTACGGGAGAGGAGTTTTCTGGCTAAAAAATTGAGGTCATGGAGCTGTATTTTTTTGACTTATGCAAAACAACAAGCGATCAAAATTCTTCAAAGGAAGCCGACAGCCGTTTGGGATAAGCAACAGGTAGCACACAATATACCAATTTTAGAAAAGAAAAGAACATAACATTTGCATGAAAAAAAGAAAAAAATTATTCAACCGCTTAAACAAAAGTTTTATTAAATGAGTCCAGTGATAGGCATTTTAACAACTTGTCAAGAAGCATCAAGACTATTCACGCAATCAAAAATAAATTTATTTGACGTAGTCCAGCCGGCCTAATGGTTTTGACGCTAGCAGCATCCGTTTTTCGACCTTGCTCATCAAACACTTGACTGAACGACATTCGTTGTACAATACCGGCCCATGAAAATTTGAATAAGAAGTAGACAAGTTCAGCCACAGGGTAAATAAATCATCAGGTTGTTAGCCATAAATGGCCCTTGATTTCCGACTCGATAAGTAAATAATTTACTCAGGCTTCTGTTGTTATTGTTAAATTGTTACCAGTCTTCGAGATAGGATAAAGGAGCAAGATCTCATTGGGAAAACGTGGATATAGCAACCCACTCAACTGTACAAACAGGGATTTGGAGGCCCGCAGTCATGTAAATATGGATCATATCTGCTCTTCACTCCCACGCCTCGATTTCCGCGATAAAATTCTCAACCAAGCGGAAATCCACTAAAGCCGCTCAGTGCTGAACAGCGACGAATCGAATCACTGCATTCATCACACTTCACCATTACCAATACAACTTAGTTTTCTATACAACAAGTACATTGTTTGGTTGTTTGTTTGACACAACACTCCGCTGTCGTTTTAGTGGTTAAGTAAACTCAGTTCATCTAAGATCTTGGCAGTGGTGGACAAAACAATTCCCAATGAAGCCTGCGATGGTTTTAAGCGACAAAGATGTCCAACGGGTCAGAGAGTCTTTGACGAAGACTCTCACTCCTCAGCATAAAGTTGTAATTGCTCCTTGTTTGGCTGAAGTTCTTGTCCTGAACAAGAGCAAAAGTATTCTCCGACGATCATTTAAAGAGAAATGGAACAGTGTCGGAAAAGGAGTCATTGCTTTAGTCTATAACACGGACAGCCTTGGTCAGCGAATTGAAATTTGCTTGACATCCATAAAAACCCGAGAGGTCATTTGGCGAGAGACAGTTGTTGCGCATTTATCCCGAGTTGAGTCACCGCAACCAAATTACCATACCTTCAACAGCACGAAAAATTTCTTCGAAAAGGCTGCGATACGTTACGACAACGAAACAGTCGCAAACCTTGTGTTACGAGCTCTGAGTGTGTTTTCATCACAATCAAAATCCGCGAAAGTTTCTGGGCATAAGCCGGCCTCGCGGTCACACTCGTTCACTGTTGCACCAAGACCCAGACACGCGCGCGCTCAAGAAGCAAAAAGTGCTTTCGAACGATGCACAGTGGCTATTTCCAACTTACACATTCAACAAGTGTTTAGCAGCGACGGAAGGCCAGTCAGTGCCCCTCAAACAGCTTCAATGTGCGGAACCACAAGCGCGCTAACAGCGCCGCAAAGTCAGCAACGGAACGACTGTCTCTTCTCCGTATGTGAAGCACGCGAGCAGATCTCAACGCAACTTTCGTCAGATCAAAACAGCGTTTATCACTTCAACAAACAACCATCAAATAACAACCGTCCTGCCCGGAGTACAAGTTTTAATTTGGTGCGACGTTGTACAGAACCAGTTTTGAAGCCGAGGACAGATTTGCTAGTTACTGATCTGTGTACAACAGAGCTTTAAATTATTGGAATCCAAAAGAATTGGCCGCCTCGAGAGGGACACTGATGAAAATTGTGTTAAATGACTCTACAGGAAATTTTTTAGAATGATGATACAAATATTTGGTATGTAGGACCTCCGGGTTAAATTCAAGCGATGTTAAATGTTATTGTAAAGAGACCTGGAATTTAAACGCACCACAGTCGAGATTAGTCGAACGATTACTAATTGTTTATAAAGATTAGATTTTGTACATATCTCATGGTTCCTACATTACTGACCGCATATTTTAATTTATTTGAATAAATAAAGTTGCTGATGCCTTATTCTTGTTTTATTCTGTCGTCAGTCGTCTGCGCAAATTATAAGCGGTTAACCTCGCGTTAAATTATTCTCATAAACAGACTCATTAGTTTATGAATAGTTATCTGTAATTGATAATTAGCATACATCCTTTTACAACGGATTGAACCAAGGAGAGGACGTTGTGAGCTATACAGAAGTACGAAAAGTAAATCAGCGGAAAGGAATTACAACGAAAAACGCTTCGATTGTTTCCCCCATTTCAACTAAATTCTTTGATGACATATCCGTTGTAAAATTGAACATAATTTATACTTACCGGAAATCTACGCCGGCTCAACACAATAAACCTGTCATAAAAAGGTGGATGGCTCTTGAAAAACCTATCGAGATGCGGTTAGTGATGACTTTTCAAAGGCATGCAATATTTTACTTCAGTGAAGTTCCCGTTATTAACAGAGATGAGAAAAACAAACTGGAATGTTTTTTTTCTAAACTATAGGATATAAAAAAAGGCACTGTTAACAATTATTTCCGCGGACTTTTTGCTGAATCGTTTCTCTTCTCATTATTTTAAGGGGTTAAAACTGAACCCCGCTATCTAACTTCGGTCGACAATGGACTGTCGTTTCATAGAAAGTGCTCGAAACTTCTCATTATAGATGTCAGGAAGCTGGCCGTTGAGATGACCGACGATATAGCAAGACGTGTGGAAAAAGACTAACGTTATTTAAAAGTGCTCTTTTTCCTTCTACGAGTGGTGAGCCGGCAATTCAAAATCTATTCTGACCTCCATGGCCAGTCAGTCGGACTCGAACTGTCCAGGTATATCATAGTTAGAAACGGCTTGACTTTAGAGAACCTTTTTACATGCTTTTAACCAAGGCTTGGTCGGAACTCATGCTATTTTTCATGCTTTTCATATTTTATCTCAAGAAAACATTCGGAGTTGAAAGGATAATTTTTTTGCGCTATCATGGAGAGTATCTATATTAAATATATCACTTCTTAAAAGTATCCTTCTTATCCTTCTGTAAATCTATTGACTATTACATGTACATGTAAACTTTCAGACAATGTTACGGCCTCTATAGGAAAAAGTAGTTGTTTATAGCGTTCAGTCAGTTCTGGCCGGATAGTGGTCGACAAAAATGTGATTCATGGCAACTCCAAATTCATTGGTGTTTCCGCTCAGTTCTTCCTTATAAGATTATTTATTTGTCAGTGTTTTGAGGAAAACAACTTTGAGATTGTTTCTCGGCACTGCAGAATTTTAAACTTGATCTAAGGCTGATATTGGTAGCCTGTTCCCGGGCCAACTTTTTCACTAGTAGTTAAGTGATGTCAAGTACTCGAGAGTGAATTAACAAAACAATAACCGATCTCGGAAGACATTAGGAGATTTTTAATGAAAATAAAGCAGGAACAAAACAAGTGAGACAATTTCAAATACAAGATCAAAAAGGGATCAGAAAGTTAATCCATGCAGATGTACAGTTTTTCAGTGGTATTACATCCACGCATCCAGTAGGCTCTTGTTAGCCGACAGTAGAAAGCCTTTAAAAAATGCTACGGAGTCGTTTCAAAAATTTCTTAGAAAACACACTCACTTTGCGGTCCTGATAGTCTCATTTTGTTATCCACTCTCCTTACCGACGTTATTCCGCTGAGGAAACCAACAGTCTGGAGAGGAACAGAACGCAACCGCAATTATGCTATTCTCGGTTGACTGTAAGAACCGGCACGTGCATTAAGCGTTTTCTTTCTGTAAAATAACTGTTTGAAGGAGCAAATTGCCAAGAAAATTCTAAAGCTCGAGAAAGGCTAAAGATTCCTGGATAAGCGTTCTCAGTGTCTAAGATATTCCGCAGACTTTTTCAACTATCTTACCTACGATTTCGGAGATCGTTGTGTTTTTAACATATTACCAGATATTACGAAAATTGATAAAAAACAATGAAAAAAGCTCTCCGAAAATTTCCGCATGAAGACAAAACGTCACCTAGAATCTTCTAATGAACATATAACAACTCCACGTCCTCGAACTTTCGACCGGACTCATCAGCTCTCATCAGGGTTGCTGAAAATTTCACCGGACGCATGAGTCGAAAAAGCGACCTAAAGCTTACGAGACCACTGAAAAAATTAAAAATTCCCCTTGAGACATCTGAACTAAAAAAAAAGGTTTTAGGGCAGCTCCAAATTAACCAAAAAGGCTTCTAAAACATAGAGAAAACCATTTGAGACTGACTTCTGACTTTTGTTCAAAACAGTGGTTCAGAAGCTATCCACTGGATACTGAATCTCGATCCAGTCGATAGTGCAATTGGTTTTAATAATAATAATAATAATAATAATAATAATAATAATAATAATAATAATAATAATAATAATAATAACAATAATAGCACTTATATAGCGCTACGACTGGCCAGTGGAAGATATCCCCTCCACATGTGCTTGTGGGGAAGCAGTTTACGGTTGATCACTCTATGATTTGCAAACTAGGAGGTTTTATTACTCAACGCCACAACGAGCTAAGAGATCTCGAAGCTGAATTTCTGAGTATGGTGTGTAGCGATGTCGAGATCGAACCAGTACTTCAAGACATCTCCGACGAACATTTAAACAGAGGATCTAACAAAGCTCAGGATGCGAGGTTAGATATCCACGCGCGTGGTTTCTGGGAGCGACATCGTTCAGCAATTCTTCGATGTGAGAGTCTGTCATCCTAATGCTGTATCGTATAGGGACCTAGAGCCACGACAAATCTATCGTTTCCATGAGAACGAGAAAAAGCGTCTCTACTCAGAGAGCGTCCTGGACATCTAGCATGGAACATTTACATCTTTGGTCTTCTCCACAACTGGCGGAATGGGAAAGGAGTGCTTGAAGTACCATAGCCGTTTAGCACAGCTGATTGCCATCAAAAAAGGGGAGCAGTATGCCAAAACCATCTCATGGATCAGAACCAGAACCTCATTCGCACTCTTGAGATCTGCGTTGGTTTGTCTTCGAGGCTCTAGGACAAGAAGAGTGCCATGTGACATTAAGAATGTTGATATCGACGTCGAAGTTGTTGAAGGAGCCATTAAATCGGACTATTGATGTGTTTCCTTACTTCATATATATCTTTTTATTTCATTATTATTATTGCTATTTTTTTTGTTTTTAGCAGTTGAAAGAAACTTTTGAATTTTAGAGGTTGACAGTTTTTTTTTATTGAAATGAAATGTTTTTAATTCGAAAAAATTTTTCTTAGTTAAATTAACTTTCTTCAGGCTAAATTAAGTGCTTTTTAAATCGACAGGAATTGTAAATAGTGTTTTTGAATGAATAGTTTTTTCTTTTTTTTAAGCGAATTAATTGTAAATAGGATTTTAATTTATAATAAACTTTATTGAGTTATCTTATATAGCGCCGATATCAATATTGCTCTTTTCATCAGCAATTAATGGTGATTAATATTTTTCCTAGCAGTTAATAGTGATTTATCCAGTGGACTGAGCCGGCTGACGAAATTTCTAACAACCGAGCCCACCCGCTAGTGCAGCAGGCGCGGATGGCGTTCTAACGGAAAGCGGAAATCCAGGAGAATTCTGGTAGGTGTTGTAGTCTACTCCGATTAAAAACCGGTTGGCACTTAAGTTACCAACAAGGGGGTTGAACTACTGTCTCCCACACGAGAAAGAACACACGAGAACTCAGTAAAACAATTCGCTGAATGAATGCCAATCATCATTAGGTCAGTCATTCAAATTTTCCATTGATAAATCTCCCGTTAGCTACCTAAAGCTTTTAATAAAATACTTTAACAAACCTCGTGTTTACGATGACATTTACCTCGCCATTGACTTATGCTCTGCACCTGAACAATATAACAGTGTTGAAAAAACAACCAGTTTCGCTTTCACAATATCAAGACCAGTAACAGTCCAACGTCTCTAAAAATCCTCTGTACCCGACCCGAGGGGTACTCAACAAATGTTTATACGGGGAGGCTCCGCCCCGAGGTCCAACCCCTTATATACCCTTTTTTATGAAAAAGGCATCCCTTTCGTAAACCTTCTATTGACAAATGGTACTCCTTTCACATACCTTCTTTAGAACTTTTCATCCCTTTTAACTGCTGTAAATGCAACGTCTTTTAAATAGGAATTAGTTACAAAAATTAAAAAAAAGGTTTATAAAGCCATAAAATTCATCTGTTAGCCCTTTTGGGCCTTTATACAGACCCAAATGACAGACTTCCTTACCCTTTTATATACTTCAACTAGTGAAATCCCTACCCTTTCATATACCTGAAGCATGAAAAAGGTGCCCTTTTGGGCAGAGCTTCTCCGAATAGGTCATCATAGGGAGTACCCCTCCGGGGTACCCGAAAACACACCAATTACATTATATCAAAATCTAGCCTTTAATTCCAGGCACTGATTCATGTAAGACTCTTGTAATGGGGAGTGGTGCGGAATGAGAAGCTTGAAGTAAAGCAGAAACGCCGAAAAAGGCAAACGAGAAAAACTTTATATATCTATACCACACAAAAAAAGACAGGAAAAACAGACACTACTAGCTATGTAAGGTATAAAGTCACCTAGAGAAAAAAAACTAAAAAGCTGATCTACTAAGCTAGGAGGAATAGTGATAAAAGAACATTTCAATATAAAACGATATTAAAGTAGTTGTTACATGGAGGCACGAGAGTAAAAGTAGGAGGAAGAGTTTTCTCGCAGGGGCGGATCTAGGGGGAGGGTGCAGGGGGTGCGCACCCCCCCTGAGATGACCTGCGGTTTTCTAATACAACTGATATTTTGCAAGAAAAAAAAAACTATGTGGTTTATTGGTGTTGAAGTAGAGCAAGAGACGGGTGCCCCCTCTTAAAAAAATCCTGGATCCACCCCTGTCTCGTACTCTCTCACTCTCGCCAGTCACCACGTTTTTTCCAATTCCTGATCCGTTCTCTCCAGCGCCTGGCACCTCGGTCCATAGGATCCCTCTATTTCCGGGAACGAGGGAGAACAACTGGAACAGGCCAATACAAACTTTGCCAGTCAGTCAGTCAAATTTGAATTTAGACTGCTGACCATTGACTTTTAGGAGAGGGGGGAGGGGTGAAGGGGTTGATGTGGTTTGGGCCAGGTTTTTTTTCCAAGCCCACTGAGCGTACGACTGTGATCGAATTTTTTCGTAATTTTTTGGTGGAAATATAGGACTTTCAACTCTTTACAAGAATTTTTAGACTGCAGATAAAGTTACCATAAAAGCAAAAGCACCCCACAAACAGAAGTTGTGGGCTCCTGCCGCAAGCTATACAATATTTCTAAATATGTAAGAAAGTTGATATAATATGTAAGCAAGAAAAGGGCAAGCAAATGAGAAAAAGCAATGTTTCAAACCAGTATCTTAGTCTTCCTTTGTTTTAAATTAATAAAATTGTCATAAAAAGAGACAAATGGGAAATGAACTCAATAACAAAATGAAACCCCATCCCGACATAATATTTATAATATTAAATAAATTAATGCTTATAATAAGCATGCTTTGTTCCCTCTGTCTTACATGAAGGGTGCCCACCTTGTGTTTCAACTACACGGAGAAGAAAAGTTCTGGAAAATGTTTTTGGAGTCTTTTAAATGACTTTAATGCTATATATTTAACAATGATTTTATTAATAATAATTTATTATTCCTCCAGCCCGAATGGGCTCACTCTGAGTTAATACACTATGAGGCTGAAGCCATGAGGGCAAGAGGAATAATAATTATTTTTTTAGTAAAATCCAACAAGTTGGTCAAAAATAGAGACAACACAACTTTAGCTGGCAAAACATGATTCAGCCTCTATTGTTTTGGTTCTCAAAGCCAGCGCTTTTTGCTACTAATGAGATATAACATATAGCCTAGTAGCAGCTCAACCAATCGGAATGTAGCATTGATAATAGACCACTAGTAGGATTTAACTAAATGCAAATAGCCACAATACCCAACAGTCAACATAGGCTATATGTATGCCCCAAAATCTCCATGATGCACATAATAAAACAAGACATAGTTACCACAACAATGTAGACAATAAAAAATCATTTTATCAAGGGAGCTTGTCAAGAAATTTGTCAAATTCAAACAGAGGTAACTGCCACCAAATTGAGTGAAGTATAAACTGCTCAAAAAGTTAGAAGAGGGTATAAATTTTAATGACACAGCACATGGATGGGCAAACTTGAAGAAGATTAAAACCAATAATAAATCCATTTTCGTGCCTCACGTGTTTCGCTGGATTGCTCATAGTCTATCAAGCGTGCTCTACCTGTGTAAGAAATACATCTTGCCTTGTAAAAGATTACAAATAGGTCACAGATTATAGAAAATTGTGTCTTAAGATGAGAACAGTTAATTTTTAAGCGGTACAAGGTCGATAATCTCTAAATGTGGCAAATTAAGGCCATGGAAAAGAAAATAGGAAATTCCTGGGGGGTGGGGCGTTATACATGACCCCGCTGGAATGGAAATTCTGATGGGGTGGGGGTCTAATCGGAAAACCCATCCGTGGGGGTGGGGGGGGGGATATGGATATTTTCTGGAATCACACATTGCAATTTATTGTAGTCTTTGAAAACTTGTTAGCCTTATGTAACAATTTTTCAAAGTTCATTTTTGTTAGACATATTTTGTTTGACAAAAAGCAGTAATTTTGTCATTCTTAGGTATTTTCTCAAGTTTCATAGCAAATAAGGACGCATAACTGGTATTATAAACAAAATGAACCAGACCGCCTTGACACAGTTACTTTAATGACCATGTTTTACAATGTTTCAACATTGGTGATGCTGGTGGTCAAGCTAACAGCACCACAAATGCCAAAAATCTGTCTTGAGTAATTAACCCTAAAAAAACCACTGAATTTCCTGTAGTTGTTTAGTGTACGTATTTACAGTAAAGAGGTTCAAGGACATCATACAAATGTACATAATGTCTCTTTTCTGAAAAGCTACTGTTTGTTTTTCACACACTGCACATATGATTATAATTATCAAATATTACTTTGTTCCATGAAAACAGGATTCATGAATAACTGAAGTTATCATTGTCTAATAAAAATAGATTTAGCCAAGGCCAAAAGCGAGACTCTCGATGGATCTTTTAAGAAATGTCTGTCTGCAGTGATTCAATATTTGCCATAAGCAAGAAACAAACGGAATAATTATTCCACCCCCAAAAGACCTGAGCCTGCAACTGAATTGAAGCCAATAACTGGTTAAGGGAAAACTTAAAAAAAAAAACATGTCAACTCAGTGAGTTGTACACCAGAGCCCACAATACAGCCATGTGACACTGGTCAGCATATACCCCTTTCTGACAGGTGTCAATTGACCATACCATGGATGTCCAATATCAGCTTAAACACAGATCGTATACATCACTTGGACACCAAGTGTTACACCTAGTGTTACTGCTTACTTGAAGGGGCTGACAGACCCAATTTTTCACTACCAAAATTCCTGGGATGCACATAATATTATAACCAAATTTTATTACCAGTGGTACTCTACTGCACCCACCAGTGTGACAGTACTGCCAAGATTTGTTATTGATTATCTTCGCCCAGCCATTCCAATGCCCTTGGTTCCCTTTTTCACATTAGGAGATAAAGGAACCTGTATGACAGTTATACAAAGAAGTGTACCAGAAGTATACCTTGATGTAATATGTCAAGGCAACTAATCATTGACCACTGGAAAGAAGTTGAAAGAATGAGGCATTGTAAAAGCAGACAATCAAACTTGAACAATTAGCCGAAAGGGCAACATGTAAAGGTTCTTCAACAGTCTCAATTTTTGATATAAGTTCCCCATCTGGTTTAAAGATGACAATTGCATTACTGCTACAGTCGCAAACCAATATGACATTGTTGATAACATCCACTGTAATGCCCACTGGGTCTAACAGCTCACCATTCCCAAAGTCAAAAAGAAATGTTCCACTACTGTTGAAAACTTTCACACATTCTAGATCACCATCAGTTACGAAGAATTTTCCTTGGTGAAATGCAACATCTTGAGGACAAGAGAGTTTGTCCTCACCAAAGCTAAACAGAAACTTTCTGTCTGCACTATAGACAAGAATACAAGGTTCAACCAACTCTTCTGGCTCATCACAGCAATCTCTGGGACTTGATGTCACTAGCAAACGACCATCACTATCTGTTGATACCCTAGTGAATTTTACTCGGCTGTTGGGGGCTTTGACATACTTTTTCACAAATGTGCCTTCTCGGTCATAGTGAAGCAGGCGATTACATTCGCGGTTCAAAACTATTATTTCATCATCTTTGGAAAATGTGATATCCCATAGGTCACCATATATGATGCGAAATGACATTACAGGATCTCCCATTGAAGAATAGACATAAACTCGTCGATCCTCTTCATCTAGCACAGCAATGTCACCAGTTCCACTTGACACAGCAATGGCAAAAGTGAACACTCCAGTCATGATAGTCTGCGCTACTTCTCCACATCTACTGTAATCAATAAAACCTGCCCCATTCTTCACACTCTGGGTATAGTTTTTGGCTGACAATGACAACTGTCCAAGTAATTCCATACATTTACCATGCAAATCAGACCATTGACCATGAGAAAATTCCATTTCTGCATAGTTAGACAGCCTGTTAACTGCTAGGGCTCTTTCATCTGCAGCAGAGCTGATCTGCGTTAATTTTTCGACAAGGTCATTTTTAGATTCTAAAATCTCCCCAACTTCACCTTGCTGGAGAATTTCATTTGCTTTGTGCATACAACTCCTTGCTCTTACAAGAAATGAAGACATCTGTTCCTTCTCCCTTTGGAAAGATTTTGAATCAAAATGCTCTGTTAGAAAGGAATCAAGGCGAGCAATTAGAGACTTTCTTTTATCATCAATGGCTCGAATAAGATCATCAGCCATTTTATTAATCTCGCGTCTTAGCATTTCCCCTTCATCTGAAGCTTTATCAAAACAATCTTCCATTTCCTTCGCTGCTTTTTCTGCCCCTTTAACGCGCTCTTTGCAAATGTTCAGAGCGTTATTTACAGCTTTTTTCTCTTTCCTTGCAGGTGTATTCTCCATAAGTCGCAATAAAAGGTGGTTTGTGGGGAAAGCAGAGACGCCCGTTGAAGGAAGGAAAGACTCTTCCCGGCATTGAGGACAAGAAATTGTGTACGAATTTTTACGGACCACGACGATATTCTCTAAACACCGCTCACAAACGTTATGAGCACAGCTGGGGAGACATTTCGGTTCTTGAAATTCTTCTAGGCAGACAGGACAAGTGGTTTCGTCTCCCATAATGGCTACAACTTTCTGAAGTTCTTTGCGTTCAGAAACGGCCGCCATTGTTACAGGAAATTTTTCATGTGATGACGTACACTCTACCATTGGACAGGTACAATTTTATAGGTCCGCAGATTGTGCAAAATTATTACTGAGAAATCGCCGGGGAGAATCGTCGTCTTGGTATTTTCATTTCAGTTTTAAAATGTTCATGTGAAAATTACCTTTGTAGCTCAGGTAAAGTGATCACTTGAGTGAAGATTTTAGTCTGGACTAGAGAAACTGGGAATTGACACCCAAAACAATGAATCAATAAATTCACTTTACCTGCAACTTTTTAGTTAGTTAGTGCTGACCTGAGTAGTTTCTAGAAAATAGCCCTCGAAAATAGCATCTTTAGGATAAGGAGGGATTTTGGGAGTTTAGTCTCGTATAGGGTAGGGTCTGCCAGACCTCTTAACAGGGGTTAAACTGTTACATTCTCTTTCCAAATTGCCTTGTTATTGCTTGTGAAAAATTATTCAAATTCAACATATCAAGACTCACTTCTTTCTCAAGCACCCTTTCAGTATACTGGTAACTACAGGTAAAGCAGAAAATTTTATTATTATTTATTATTACATGTATGATACATCTGGTGCGCACAAAGGATAAATTATTTACATGAAAAATCATTTTATATTCAGGCCAACTATTATTGAAATGCAGTTCCTGACCACAGACATATCAGAAAAGACTGGAGAAATATTTTATGTATGAAAAATGTATATCCTAGGTATAAATAATTTATAATTAATCAAGCAGACTGCATACATTGGATTTCATATTACCTAAAGAGTTAATGTTCCATTTGGCCTTAGTCCTATGTTCATCACATAAACTGCTTTGATGGCAGACTGTCCGAGGACTTGCAACCTGAGCAGAGATACAGCTACAGCCTCACAAAAAGTCATGCACTGCTGGGAAAAACTTACAAAAAAAACGCACTGCTAAACCTTACATTCCAAAGCCTATCAATGTTACATATTGGCCAGTGCAATAGAACCAGGAGCAGGAGTAGTTGCTTGCAGACCCATTTCCATAAAGAAGTTCTCGCCGTAACTGTAAGTGCTGGCCAACTGTCACAATGGGCATTAGACTTGCTTGCCTGCTTTGCCACAAGCCGTACTTCCACAGAGAAATAGATAAGCATTCCATATGAATGACATCTTTCAAATCTGCACTCTATTCTATTGTCTTATGAGTGAATAGCACACACCGATACCTATAGCAGCTGCAGCCATGCCATACTTGAGCCAAGAGTCCCAGGAATTTCTTTTGTCAGCACATCCACTGGTTCTCTTCATGTGCAGAGCTTCTTTACTGCCACCATCTTTTTCTTCTTTCTCCCAAAACTTTGCAAGTAGAATCTGTGTATCAATGATGTCTTTCTCATCAGCAGCATCAAAAGCTTCCTATAAAAAGAACACCACTGAGATAAAGCCTTTAAAAGAACTTTATCACTCTGTTTACAAAAATGGTTTACCTGTACTCATGCAGGGCTTTGCGCAAATTGGAACCTCCACTCCATTTTTGCGGAAATTCACTTTTGAATTTGCTTTAGATTAAAAAACACTGAATTTTTGCTGGTGACTTTTGTTTTAGTAAACAAACACTTTAAATTGCAATGTTTTCTTCTGCTTGTGATTAGTTTTCAAGATATATGCTAAACTATGCCAGATTTCTAGTGCTCATGTATTTACCTTACATTGGGATTCTTTTATGCATCAGAAAGGAATGAGAAAGATTAGACAATACAAATGTCTGAAGTAGGGAGCAATAGGTTAAAAGACAAACTAAATGCCATACACACTTATACATACAGTAAAGCACTACCTCCAATTAACTAGCCAAAAACTAACACTAAACAAGCAAAATGATGTACGGGTAAAGTGTGAAAAAGTCAAAGATGAACAGTGATATTACACTTCTAGATGTGAAAGGAGTAATGTTGAGAAATAAGAAGACAAAATATGTAGAAGAATGGATGCTAGACTTTGTCTTCCTATTCTGAGGCCCAATTCTGATGCAAATTTTACAGTCATATGAAGTTATAGAAGGTCCCTAAGAATGTACCCACCAAGCACTAAAAGAGTTACAGAGTTAAGAGATGGCTTTACTTAGGATGTTCATTAGGCATTGGAAAGATCGGAGAATTCTCCGTTTACTGCACAGAATTCTCTGGCTAACATTCGGTACCCTTTGAATACTTTTTATTCAGATGTGGAGCCTTTTTCAAAATATTCTCCTGCTACTAGAATTCTTAATGAAACCCTGTTTACCTTAAAGCTGTTATTAACCCATTCGCCCTTCAGCCCCCCGTAACCGCCCGCGCGGATTCACGTCCTTTCTACTGCTTGTAACATCATCAGTTTTAATGGTCAAGGAAAATTTTGTCTGCTAACTTGTGCAGAGTGAAGAGATCTTTCAAACCATACCAGAATGAGCACATTTCAGTCAAGGACACCAGAGAAAAAGGTAAAAAACCATGTAACATTGACCTGAAATTCCCATGAAAATCTTGTTCCACTACCCACTTACCTTTCTTTTCATCAAATCCTAAGATCCTAAAAGCTTTCCTAAAAACTTTTCCCACCAAAATGAAGCCTACTAAATGCCAAGCAAGAAAAAAAAAAACAAATGAAGCACGAAAAGTGCAAAAAGAGGAGAGGAGAGAATTAAAGTAAAAAGTAAAAGTCTTTATAGCACAACAGTGACCGGAGAACCACTCAACTAGCTTCAAAACACGTTTTTCGGCAAAATCTCCAGGAGCAAGTGGTCTAAGGTGGCCCTATACAGTTTTTCAGGGTCAGTACCTCCCAAGTTTGAGCATAAACTAGTTGCCATAAACAAAGATTTGGAAAAATTGCGACCGCACTTGTATCAGATAAAGATGAAAATTTGTCATGATCAGGTTTCAATGACATCGGAATTGCCATAGCAATGAAATGATGCCATTACCTTTTTACTTGCAGCAGTATATCTCAAACACTGGGGACTGTTCTTCCAAAATATTGTTCATGGGAGCTTTTTCCTTCAGTTATAGCTGCCTCGATGTTCCTGTATTTTGAGTGACATCTGTAAGAGCATGATCGAGATGTTTTGGGATAAAGTTTTTATGGTTATAAATATGGTAAAAAAATGGACGATCTTGATGTTCTGCTGTTATCTGTAGAAAACGAAGTGCTCTTGACATGCAATTTTCCCTCATAGAGTTTTAATCTTTTTAAAAACTTGTGAGAAAGATCATGGAGATAGCTCAAGCCGATTGCTACAAAGAAGGATTTGATTAGTGTGTATTGAGGCACTCTTGTTAGTGGTTTTGTAAACATTTTGGTCTACTTTTATTTAGTATATACACACTCAGTGATCTTGGTAATTCAAGCAAACTGATTGGTTAGCTATCTCGGACTATGACGTTATATTCACCCCGCTAGGCGGTGAATATAAAGCAGAACAAAATCGCTGTCGTGAAATGGGTGTTCTGCCAAAGTTTCATAGTAAAGCCTTTTTTAAAATACACGAATATCCAAGTGCTGATAACTTTCAAGGCAAGAAAAGACTTCATGGCGTTTAAACAGCGTGATTTGTTGCGAAGCGGTTTACTGTAGCTGACTTTTGTACGCTCGAAGCTATGTTTACCACTACAGAGGGAAACGAGGTCGCTTTGTCACTGTTTTGTGATTTCGGGATTTTCTCGCAAGACCAATTTTGCCTACAAATAGAAGTTAATTTATGGAGAAAAGAGGAAGGCAAATATTTTCGAAAATTGTACGTGCCAGCAAGTTAACAAGGCAAAGAACATTGGAGATAAACAATGCTCACCTTGATCGTAGCCGCTGTTGACAGCATTTGCAAGAAGCGACAAAGAACACTTTCTCATTCACGGTGAGTTGACAGAAACAAATAAAGCTCTACTTTTCTTCTCAGAATTGGGTAGTAATATAAATTTTCGGCGTTTTCTTTTAAACCGTTGATGCTAAAGCTTACAAAACTTGATACAAAAAGATTAAAACTATCATTTGCCATGTTTGAAGATACTGTAAAGATCTAACTTTTGCGCATCCACTGTTTACGGCTTCGTGTTCACGCATGAATTCACCCGTCAATCAAACTAGTCGTTTTTTAATGGTTTCCTTTCTGATTCTGTTGAGATCACTTCGTGTGAATATACTAAAACAATTATTCACCTCAGGCTCAGTTAATATTGTTGAACAATATTAACTTCGCCTTTGGCAAATAATTGTTAATTAACAAATCAGTGAATAATTTTTAAACCTCTTGATAGATATTTTTTAAAATTTAATATTCTTGAGATTAACCGTCCTTTTACATGATCTTTTTTTTTTCAAGATTATTGATATATTGTGAGGCAGTAAAATAAGGGTTACAATTTGCTAATATCTTTTCAGAAATTTTGTGTTTACAAGTGAGAGCCTCTCATTATTTAGGGGTATTGTCTCCAAGTTTCATATTTTTGCGCACAACAATACTAGTCAGCATTTTTGCATATTTCAAATGCATTGTTAGTCACTGCTGTTCACGTGAAAATGAAACCTGGAGACAATAATAAGCCTGGCTTTCACTTGTAAAGATGAAACTTGTGATAAAAAATTAGCGAATTGTAGCCCTTATTTTACTGCCTTACAATATATCAATAATCTTGAAAAAAAAGGATATAAAAGGACGGTTAATCTCAAGAATAAAGGTCTCCTAAAACAACACTTCATCTAGAGAATCTCAAATTTTTTAAAAAATCTATCAAGTGGTTTAACATTTATTTGCTAATTTGTTAAAGTAGACCAAAATGTTCACAAAACTGCTAACAAGAGCGCCTTGATACATACTAATACAGTCTTTCTTTCTAGCAATCGGCTCGACCTATCTCCATAATCTTTCACACAAGTTTTTAAAAAGAGTAAAACTACTATGAGGTGGAATTTCATGTCAAAAGCGCTTCATTTTCTACAGATAATGGCCAAACATCAAGATACTGTATTTCTAACCATAAAAGCTTCATTCCAAAATAACTCGATAACGCCCTTACAGCTTCTGTTCAAACTTCACGGACATCGAGGCGGCTATTGGAGGAAAAAGCTCCCGTGAACGATTTTGGAACAATAGTTCCCAGTGCCGAGAAATACTGCTGCAAGTAAAATAGATAATGGCCTCATTTCATTGCTATGACAGCTCTGATGACATTGCAACCCTGATCATAAAAAAATTTTCATCTTTATCTAATACAACCGTGGTGGCAATTTTTCCAAATCTTTGTTTATGGCGACATAGTTTATAATCAAACTTGGGAGGTATTGACGCTGAAAAACTGTATCAAGCCAACTTAAAGAGTATAGTGCAAAATACAGAGCACACGGTTACTCACCCATCCACCATTTTTTTCTATCCACTCTTCTGTACTTTCCTGAATAAACCTAAAGCTATGATCAGCCAACAGTTCAAGCTGTAAATCATCCAATTCACCTACAATGGCAACTTCACGAGCAAAGTGACAAAGAAGTGCCACCTTGGACCAACCCACAATTTGATGTTCAAATGTAAGGTGTCGTGCAGCCACACAAAACTGTTCGTATGAGAGATTTCCTGCCTGCATTATCTTCAGAGGTTCATCCAGTAAGTGAGGAACTTTTCCCATAATTTCTTGACTTATTTTTTCTAACCTAGCTGCAACCCGGCCTTCTGGAGACAAAACTGGTGAGGGAGTGTGGTCAGAACCAGGTTCAAATGGCGGAATCTTGAGGTCGTTTGGTCTCTTTAAGAATTCTCTGTTGAGAGAAGAGTTGAAATTTAACAAGAGTGTTTCAGCAATTTTAATTCTGACTAAGTAATAGTATGTAAAAGCTTAAACAAATAAAAATGGCTGATCCTTGGCCCCCCAACACTAGATCTCACCTATCAGTTTGCGCATCAGCTGGCAATAATAATTATTATAGCCTTAAAAAATTCTTGGCATAAACATAAACAATACCCCGTGTGGCACTAAATTATAGTGGGTTCTAATTTCAGGGGCACCCAACGACGGTTTCCTCCGAGTAAATACATTGAAAACACTTTTTAGGCTTTCTCGAGTACTTTTCGATCTCTAAAGATGCATTCTAGGTGGCACTATAGAATTTTTGTTTGGTCATCCTAGGGGACATTGAGTCTTTTTGAAATTACAAGGACTTCAGTATTATTTTCCCGAAAATTTTAGATGCAATCATATCAAGAAAGTGAGAAGTTTTCTGATTACTCTCTCCATCACATTTTTGAATCCAAAAATTTTAGGTTTCCTTTTTTCCTCGAAAAATAGCCTAACCTGGGTGGTGAAATGTGAAAAATTAAACTCCAGAAAACCTTTGGGAATTTTTTAGATAAGCTTCAAAAATATTGTACATGAATGGAACAGTCATCTGGAAATTTTTAGCCTTCTTCAAGTCCTAATAGAAAATTCTAGGCAATATTCGCTTCTCCGAACAGACATTTTAAAGAAAACGGGATCATTGGGTGCCCTTGTATATTTTTGCGGATGTTTTGTGATCTGCAAAAGTTAACACACACACACAAAAAATTGAACCCACAAAAATTTAGTGCCACATGAGATAATAGTATTCTATACACTTAACTTTGCTACACAAGACTAAATTAAGACATTCATGATCAATTCATTTGAACCCAACTTTCAGAAAATCGCCAAAACAAATTTCTTGCAGGAAAATAACCTTTGTCCTGATCATCACAAAAAATTAGTATCTGAAAAACACAAAAAATTGGCAATCTGCAAAAATTTATTTCCACATGGTATTTCATGCAGATTTCTGGCTTTCCACTGATATCTACGGAAAAACAGGAGACTGGAAATGGCTCGTGTTAAAACATTTAGGTACCTTTGCAAAAATTCTGCCAACAGCAGAAACTATCACATTGGATTTCATCACATGACTGTAAAAATACACATTTCAAACATAGCTGGTGTTCATTTTCAATCACGTATAAAATATTCCCTTCAAAATTTCCATTTTATCACTGGTAATTGTGCAATCTCCTTGACTTTGCAAAAGCTGGAAAGGGGTAGACTGAGAAAATAGTTGAGATTTTGTGACGCTTCCACTGGTTTCCTTTTAAAATGATGTCTGAGAAGCAAGTGCATAAATTCTATACTGATTCAGGTTGAAGCAAACTTCCCATGGAGCGCAACCAGTTGGAGCCACTACACAGATCTGGGTAGTGATGCGTCATCAGTATTAAATTTCTGTGCTCATTTCTCAGACGTCATTTCGAGGGGAGACTAGTAAGTTGTAGCACTGCAAAACGTTGGCTGTTTTCTCAGGCTAGAAAACAGGTCAGGTGACACTGATTTTAAAAGAATAATTTTGACATGTAAAGACATTTTGAAGTCTAACAGTCATTATACGAAGTAGGCTGGTGAAAAAAAGGGATCTAAAAGCAGTGCAAATGAATGTAAGTTTTGAATTGTTTGTCACTTCAATTAAGAATGTTATGCTGTAAATAGTAACTTCAGTAATTTCATTTGATTACGACAGAATCGTAAATGCTTCTGAACCAAGTGGGAAATAAATCTACAAGCTTTAAATCCCTGGGTCAGATCTTCAAACTGAAGAAGCCCTTTCAAATAGGAGCTAATGATTACAGTGCTCTTAAATGCTAACTTTGGCCTTTATTCTCTGTACACCTATTGAAAATGAACCAAAAGTCTTCAACTTTGGAATTTGTGTTCAGTACAATAATACATTAAGATTTTGAATTGTTGGCCACTTCAACTAAGAATGACATGTTGTAAATAGTAACACCAGTAATTTTGCTTGACTATGAAGGAATCATAGATGCTACAATCCGAACCTAGTGCAAAATAAGTTAGCAAGCTTTAAATCCCTGTGGCTGATCTTCAAACTGAAGAAGCCCTTTCAAACATAGGAACTAATGATTATAGCACTCTTAAATGCTAACTTTGACCTTCACTTTCTATACACCTATTGAACCAAAAGCCTTTTTTATATTTTTACTCTTTTTCTTCACCTTTGAAATTTGTGTTTAGTTTAATATTACATTAAAATTCCTGATTTAAAATTTTCAAATCAGAAATTCTTATAGGCTTGCTTCCTTTATGACCTTACACCAGTTCTACAATGTAATACATAAATGCAAGTGATTGATCACAAATTTTCACTGATGGATTCTGCTCTAATGATTTTACTTTACCCTACTTCCTTGTTCTCGGTTGTTCCTTTATGCCAAATTCCACGAAATTCTTATGACCAGTTCCCTTACATAAGTATCTGCATTATCAATACCAGGAAAAAAGGCTAAAAGGCCACTTGTCACAATGGCAACCTTAGATATAAAGTGTGTAACAATGCTGTGTCATCTTCAAGATAACCAACAATGAACAAGGAAAATTGATTGCTAAAGAGTCATGTTTGTAAATTAACCACAACAACATGAATAAAATATATTACTTTTAAGTGGAGATGCTATATTCATTCACTTGCAACTTTCAGAATGACATTAAGCTAAGCTAATGAGGTATTAATACTCATGTTGTGTCTTTGCTGTCATGCAACTCTTTCCCACATAAATGCTAGAAAATGAATAAGCCCTCTTAAGCCTCTAATCCCCAAGGACTCATATGTAACAACAACAGATTTATACATACAGGTTTCCATTGCACTTCCGTTCAGAAAAAAGACCCATATTGAATAAAAAAAAGGAATAAGACTTTGAAAAACCAAGAGCTCCCTTATTGAAATTATACACAACAAGCTCTTTGATAAATACCACTAATTACAAAGCTCCTTCATTTTACAAATTTGTACTGACCATAACGTATTTGCGGGGGACAAAAATTTTAGTATGCCGTAAAAGTCCAAAACACAGATGTACAGATTCACTGTGTACTGCACGAAACCGCACAGCCGTATAGCATTTAACGCAACTAAAACATCAAACAACTATAAAGTCAGCTGTGTACTTGAGCTCAGTTTGCGTCAGGTATATCTCGCCTATTTTTTTCAGCTATATATGAATCGCCGCATTTTGGCAAATATTTTACCATTTAGATAAGATAAGACTACTTACTCTTCTTTCTGTATGTTCCTGTGTTTGAGCTTCCTTTGGTCGAAGCCTTCGATGTCTCTCTTTAAGTTTAGTGATAGCTTTCGCTGAAGTCTAGCCATCCGCAGAAATTTCTGCCGTTTGTGTTCGTATGCACCTACATCGCTGCTACTTTTTGACAGACGCGACATCGGTTTGGACAAACATTTTACCCTGCTCTCTGATTCCGAAAGGTTACGAGCAGTTAGTTTGTCGGCAGGCAATGAACTCAAAAAATCTAAAACCACAATCCGTGTCTCTTCGCGAATCCGTTCTCGTGACGACCAACGAGTTAATTCTGCAGCACTGTCCGAGCTCCCATCTAACTTTAACGTCTCCCTCGAGCCGTCCATGTCGGAATCCGTGTCTGTTGTGAGTTCAGGCGTCCCTTGAGCTATGTATGTGTCTTCTACTGAGTCAAAATGCATTGTTGTTAATTGATATGAGGTAGGTAAAGTGTTTCGCGTTTCACACTTCCTTCGACACTTCCTTCTCGATATTGAGTGACTCAAGCCCAGATTCTCTCGGTCAACCTTATAAAAACAATATGGGCCTATTGTTGGCCTATTATATGCCCGATAATGGCCCCCCGGCGGTGTATACAGAAACGTGATAGTTTTTGAAGTCTTGTTTTCCGGCCCTTCAGTTCATTGAGGTCACTAAACACACTATTGTCGTCATACGCAGGCATTTCCTGGTGTCCACTCATTGTGCTTTGTTGTTTACTTCTGTCCGCTATGTTCGTTACCATTTGATGGGCTCCTGTCGTTACCTTACACTGTTAGCTCTGTGACCTAAGCTGTATACGGCTCTCACGATGGTTCTTGGGTACATTCAGTAGCTCCTGGTACCCCCTCCCCCCCCCCCCCCCACCGCCCAAAAAAACTTGTAGAGGTACTCACGACTTCGAAAGAGTTCCCATTCACGCACAAAACACTAGAAATGGGGAATGAGCGGGAGCAGAATATCCTATATTCACCCCCAGACTGTTCAGCCCCTGTCAGCAGGGGTCAGTGGGCCCAGGGACCCGTTTCTCGAAAGTCCCGATAATCAACGGGCCCGCAAAACTGTTGTTGTTTACATGCAAGATAGAGGTTCCAATAGCTTGGCATCTAACATGATAAAACTATCAGTTAGTGAAATAAAATGCAGTAGTTTGCTAAATTCATTTTTTTGAAGCAAGGACCAGCTTACCAAGAAGACCGGATCCTAATAAAGGATCTAGTGAAAATATGAAACAAAATAAGCAAGGCTGATTTTACAGTCGAGAATATATAGTAGCATATACAGTCGTTTGCTAGCCAGGGGCCTGTTTCTCGAAAGTCCCGGTAACTTTACGGGCCCGAAATCAAATATTCAAATCGAAATATAAAGAATAAGAGCGCGGTTCCTGGCTAGCAAACTACTCCATTTCGTTTCACTAACTGACAGTTTTATCACGTTAGATGCAAAACTATTGAAACCTCGATCTTTAATGTAAACGGAGACAGCTTACCGGGCCCGTTTATTATCGGGACGTTCGAGAAACGGGCCCCAGGACTCGCGTCTTTATTCTTTATATTTCGATTTGAATATTTGATTTCGGGTCCAAAAAGTTACCGCGACTTTCGAGAAACCGGCCCCAGGGCTCGTTCGAACCTCGAGCTAACTCGAACCAAAATCGATTTCCCCTGGATTTCCGTCATACATTCACTGTAATTTTACCCTCGGTAACTCGAACCCTCGATAACTCGAACTCCCGCTAACTCGAACCAATTTTCGTTTCCCCTTAGGTCATTTTCAATATAATTTTACCCTCGATAACTCGAACCATGTTTTGAGCCCTTAAAATGTTCGGAAAAAAGCCGTCTACTGGCGTTCGAAACATTGAATGTTGGATTTCCTAATGACGTGTTGTAGGAGTATAGTGTACTAGTGGAGGCTGATGTTGATTGTCACAGGCTAACGTGAAGCAGCTTTTCGGCTCAAAACAGTAAAACGCATGCTTTATTTAGGCTATGTTTTGTTACGTTTATACGTTTTGAACTGTGCAGTAAAAACTGTTTTTTACCCTACTCTCGGCTATTTTCTTCGAACTCCCGATAACTCGAACCTTTTTTCGATTTCCCTTGAAGGTTCGAGTTATCAGGAGTCGACTGTATTACTCATATTAGTCCTCTTGTCTTACGATAATCACATGCCACTCCGAACAGCTCAGTGACTTTAGATGATAGAGCAAGTGCCGTCTTACAACAAAGTTTTTCCTGTGAAAAAAAAAAACTTCCTGCATACATTCCTTTCTTTATAGTGATAATGTCCTTTTTGGTACCTACCAGTGAAAGTCAGCGGTGTCTTTGCCTGGTTTTCTTGTAGTGAGATGGCGGAAGTGGCTGCTGCTTTCATAAACAGAATGTTGAAAGATTGCTGATCTGGTGCACGTTAAAATCTGGAAAATACACTAGACGAAAAAAAACTTACCGTCACTTTTCTAAAATTAAAAAAGTAATGAAGAGGACTCTGTTTGCCCCTATATGGTCAGAATTGTTTTAGTGAGTCAGCGAGTTTAGGTCTTGTTCTAAAATATGACTCACCGACCCGCTCAAGCAAGTAACTTTGGGCAATTCCCCTGAAAACCATGCGCGTAGTGTCAAGGTGCTGACCCGGGTGCTGACAGTTTCAGCTAAAAAATGGGAGTAGAGAAAAGGTCAGAACAATTTCTAGGAAGGATTCAGTGCGACCTTCTAAAAGAAAGTCAAAAATAATTTGTACTCTTCGATATAGTTTCTTTTACATAATTACCGGTTTCAGCGTTTCAACTCTTTCCGGTTGAGTTACCTTGACCTTTTCGGTGGGGGGCTTCGACACAGCATACAGTAATCCAAATAACTCAAGATATTTCACCAGCAATGCGACACAATCCAGAGTGAGAGTCAGTGCTACCCGCGCTGTCCCAATCCTCGTTTTTTTCATTTTAATAAAAATAGGATTTTTATGATAATTTATCGCATGACTATGGAATTATAACCGAAGGAGAAATTCGGCCTTCCGGCCTCAAGCCGGAAGTGTGACCATCTAGTTTCCTTCAGAGCCGTTGCAACAGGAGACTTGTATCAGAGGAGGATTCAGGGAAATTCTTATGGCGATCATATTGCACTATGCTGTACCCCTATCCATTCCGCACAAAGGCCAATTGAGATAAATTGAGAAAATTTGTATTCATGTACGCGTGGTAGGGTTGAACACCCGATTCACTCAAAGGGTACTGGGTATCACCCGTAAAAATGATACCCAAATTACCGGGTATCACCCGCCATAGTACGTACTATAGTACGACTGAGAAAGTGCTGTACCGGATGGTGCAGGATGA